AGAGTTCGATAATAAGAATTAATTACATAATAAAGTTAAGATGAATTTAGAAGAAGGGAACATTAATATGTTCAAGAAATTACTAATTTAAAATAACTTATGGATACTACTTAATAAAGATAAAGTGAATATTAAAGTATGAGAGAGACATTATAAGAATAAGTTTAAAGTTTATAAGAGAAAAGTTTAAATAAAGAAAAAGAAGTAGAAGAGTAATAATAAAAGTATGAAGATTTAAGATAGTAATTTAATCAATATGTTGAGGAGACTAATTTAAAATTGGAATATTATTAAAGAATAGAATATGAAAGAAAAGAATCAGATTTGAAATATTAAGCAGAATTGGTAATTAATTAAATATTATTTTTAGAATGCTGCTTAAGATAAGATAAGAGTCTTAGAAATAGAATTAGAAACTCTATAATTAAGATAGAATTAACTTTTAAAGGAGAGAAGAGAATTAGAAAATTAATTAGATGAAAAATCAAAAGAAATTGAATCACTTAAAAATTAACTTAATAAAGATTATATTTCTAATGAAGAATATACATTGTTATAGAAAAAGTATAATGAATAAACAGATGAATTACATTTATTAGAATAAAAATAAATTAAATTTGGTACTGAAAAAAAACAATTAGAAAGATAAATAGATAAATTAAATTAAGATATTGAACTTAAAGATTAAGAACTTTAATAGACTGATAATTTAATGAAAAAAAGAAGAAGTGAATAAGATGAATTAAATAGAAAAATTGATTCATTAACAAGAGATAATGCAAAAGTATCTCATGATTTATTAGATGTTTAAGCCTAATTAAGTACAAAAAATGATTAAATTAATGCTTTAAAAAGAGAGAATGAAGATTTATAAATATAATTGGCTTCTGTAAAAAAATAATATGAGAAAACATATGAATAATTAAATAAAAAGAATTAAGAATTATTAGAAAAATTTAATGATGCAGAGATTAAAAAATCATATTCTTCTGGTGAAAATACTGCAACAAAGGTTTTAACAGCAACTACTATAATTAAGACATCATAAGTGTAACTTAATACACCATTAATTCCAGAGGAGTAGGAAAGTTAATAAGGAACTGAAAGATCTGATTAACAATTTAAGGTATATATCTTTTATAATCTAATTAGACTTCTCAATGAACTGAAGAAATTTGATATGATTTATTTTTATATATGTAACATATTCTATCTTTTTTTAACAATTTATATATTACTATTTAAAATATAAACATTCAAATATTTGAAGTACTATGATTGTTTTTCTTTAATAAACTTAAATTTTTTTTATCATAAGGTTGAAATTTGATTTATGAAAGTAACATCTAACTACTTTAAATTAATAATATTTCATTTGAATTGATATCTTGTATCATTCTTTTTGGATCACTATCTGTATAATCTTCTTATTAGGTTTCTAATAATATTTTATATAAGATACTTGATCTTAGATTTTTATTAGTTATTTTATGTTTGCGATCTGAGGCTGATCGTTCATTTTCTTATATATTTTTGGAATTAATTTTAGGCAAGGATTCATTAAGTTCATTTAAAGTCTCTAGTTTGAATTTTAAATCTTATCTATAAATAATTAATAAATATAATAACTGTTATGGTTTTTAATCTAAATTGTTTCCATTCATGGCAACTAATTTAGCAGATTTCATTTTTGTTCCTTTTTATAATTAAAAGTTCATAGCATAAGCATCTTTTATAATATTAGTAGGTAATTTTTTTGATTTTGTTTTAATCATTTTTTATTTTATTTTATCCTATACTTCAGTCGGAAGAAATCCCATTCCATTATATAAAAAGTTATTAGAAGGATGATCTTTTTTGGATCTAAAAATATTATTAATTTTTTTAAAGTTTTCAATTTCTAATGAAAGATATTTGACAATTTCATTAGTTTTTAATAATTCTCTTCTATAATTATCTAATAGAAATTCTTTTGATCTGGCTTATTCTAAAAGATCATTAGTTGATCTGATATAATGTTCATGTTCTACTTTTTATTCTTATAATCTTATTTTCTCTGATATCAATTATTCTTAATCTAATTAATGTTAATTATTTAAATTCTCTATCTCTTGTTTATGTGTTTACTTTAATTATTCATTAACTTCTAATAATCTCTTTTATTCAATTTAATTTTAAATTTCCATTTATTTGATATCATTCTAAAATTTAAGTATAAGTTCATTTTAACCTAATCCTACTTATTTAAGTTAATTATTTAATTTATCAATCATAGCTTAATATATATTCTCTAAATCAAGTTACATTTAAATTTTAGCATCTTTTTCATTTATTATTAATTCTAATTACTTTATAGTATTATCTTTTTAAATGAGATCATCTTATTATTATTTTTAGATATTTTTTAATTATTATTCTTAATTAGATTCATATATATTCTTTTGAAATTTGATTTATTCTTAGATTTCATTTATTTCATCTTATTTACATTTTAATAGAAATTCATATTCATCTTTTTATTTAAGTAAATCATCATTTAATTTAGTAATTTACAATTCCTAATTATTAATAATAGATGGATCTATGATTTCATTTAAATCACATTAGATTGCAACTTCATTATATAAAATCCATGCACCTTATGTAATTGATAAAGATTTGTTATTTCCTGCTAAATGTTATTAAAATTAATCAGTATTATTTGTTTTTTACATTTCATTATTAACTATTTTAATAAGATGAATTGGAGAATTTGAATTTTCATCTACAGAAGAAGATCTTGACTATTATTTAGATTATTAAATTGATTATAGCATCTCTTATTTATTATTTTCAACATATTATTCAATAGTAGTATCTTCAAATGTAAAATCTTATTTTTATTGAGATCTTCTTTATGTAGAAGAATGAATTTAAGAATCTGGATTATTGGATTATTTTATTGGTTCTCTTTATTTTGTTCCTTATCTTTGATTTTATGAATACTTATTTTATTATATAGTTTTATCTGGAGATTATATTTTATTCTAATATATATTTGATCCCTACTTTTTTGTTTGTTCCCTTATTCCATATTATACCTTTTCTTATTTAAATTTTTTAATCTACTCACTAAATAAATATAAATTTATACTTTAATTAATCTATTATAATTTGTTTTTTTTATATATCAATATCCTTAGTTTTAATTGTTTCATCACATAAAAAGACTTTGTATTTTTAATCTTAGATTTCCTTTTCCAAAGCTGTTATCTAAGGAACTTATCTTTCTATTTAGAATAATAATTATTTATTTTTTTCATTTATGTTTAAAAATTTAGTTCTATATTCTTAACAATCTTCCATTAATTTTTAAATCTAATTTTCTAATTTCATCTTTTAAGATTAGATCTTATATTCATATTCATTAATTAATGCAGTTTTATTCTCATTTAATTTATTACTAAAAATCTCTAATTATAATAAATAAGATCTTCTTTCACTTTCAAATTTCTCCATCTATTCTTATTTTTCCAAATTCATTTACATAACTAATTAATTCTAAATGAGAGATCTTTCTTCTATTTTATATTTATAATGTCTATGTATATTGTTTGTATTCTATTCTAATTGCAATATCTTTGAACATAAATCTTCAATTTTCATTTTCTAATAATTACTTAGTATATAATACCATTCTATTTACATTTTATTCCCAATACATAGATTGTTATTTATGATATTCATTCAAACGTCGATTTTAATCTATTAATGACTGTTTCTCTTAAAAAAATCGATCTGTTTCACATTACAACTTCTCCTTCAATTATTTTATAACAATCTATAACTTAGAATTATCATTATTGTTCTCAACTATTGTATTATTCAATCTATGAATCTCCTCTACATAATTACAATATAATACCCTCTAAAAGATCACAAATTTATTTGAAATCAGCAACAGCTTTAATCAATACCCTATCTTCTCCATTAGGTCCAGTATCGTTGATTAGACTGCTAAGTTACAATTTTCGTTCTTCAATAAAGAAGTTAAGGCCAATTACATGTTATTTTAACTTAGTGTTTTCATTAAAAAGAGGCTTGATAGTCTATTAAACATACTTTAAATTATGCTTAAAATTAATTTGCATTAAGTTCCAGAGCTTTCATTTTATGATTAGCAATTTCATCATTTTCAGGAAATTTAATTGAAGTGTTCATTAATGATTTATATATATATTTCAAATTTATTTCTAATAAGAATGGTATTATTCTTTAAGAAAGCATTCAGTTTTTCAATTATTGTGTTAAAAAATTTATACTTCAACATTTTAGAAGCAATAAAAATAATATAATATATTTAGCTGGATTGAGGAAAATTAATTTGGCCAACATCAGCTAAGTCAAAATATTCAAAAAGAGATTATTGTCTGATTTGTTGAAGTTACAGTATACTTAATTATTTTTAATCTTTAAATTAATAGTCTTAAGTAGTTGCATTAGAGCAAATGATTTTATCAATATTATCTTGATCAGTGAATATTGGCTATCCTATAATTAATTCATTTTATATATAATTAAATGACTAATTTCTATAATCTCTTATGGTAAATAGTAATAGTATTTTTGGTCACATATGCCTAGTTTACAAAGCTTTCTTTTGAATATTATTTTTTGTTATTAAAATGTTCATCCAAATAATTCCAATCTCTATGTAGTATCATTATGTTTCAGACTCAGATGAATAACTTAGATAATGGATATATTTATCTTATATAGCAATTTGATAAGCAAATATTTTATGTTGTCTAAAATTGTTAAAAGTATTTCAAATAGATTGAACATTATTTATAGGATAACAATTTTATATTTATTATTCTCTTGCAAATAAATCTCTTTAAACACACTTTTCTTTTAACAATATTTCTTAATAATTACTATTTGTACAATTGTTACATTAGTATTTAACATAAAAAGTTCTTTAATTTGTAATATTTTAATATTAATTTTATATTACTTATTATGATTCCATTTAAAAAATTAGTAGCACTTTTTATACGTACATTCTCTAAACCTGTTGCCAATATTATTAAAAGATATGCTTTGAATAATAATAATAACAGGTCTTATGGAAGAAGAATTGTCAGAAATGGTTTTATATTATTAGGAAATAAGTATCATGCATTTGATGTTTATTTGGAAAGGGCCTCTATTGGTTAATCAAATTAGTAATTTTTTATTAAACCTTTATCGGATGAAGCTGCATTTATGAAAGGTTTTAAATTTATTATATTAAAATAGGCACGGATCTCTTTTCAGATTTATTTATATATATTTGTGTTTTAGGATTACCTTTATATGAGATCATTCGACAATCTAATGAGTCTGCCAAAAAGGAAGCCATTTAAGATGAGAAATTAAACTAGCTATCAAAAGTACGCCAAAAATTTTCAGTTTTAGGAAGTTGAAGAATTAGAGTTAATTGAATCTAAAATTAAGGAAAAATAATTATAGCTAGCATAATTAGACACAAAATTAATTGAACAAATATCACAAACAAGCTATCAATTTTAATAGCAAATATTAAACATATCAAATGATTTAAATAAGAATTAATGAATTAAATAAATTATTTCTATGCTATCAATTTTTATTTTAATCCTTTCTAATAATAGCTTTAATAAAAGCTATAACACCATCAAATTCCTATTCTAATACTCTATAATCCAAGTCTAATTACTGAATCACAGAACTCCTTTCTCTTCCCTTTAAAGCATGAGTCAATTAATCTAAAGCCTATTTAAATTAAGGACTTAGTAAATTCTCCTTAAATTATTCAAAACTTTACTAATCAGGAGGTAAATAACTATTATAATTTAAATTATTTACTCTTTTAGAGCCTAGAAGTATTCTTCATCTTTGGCAATTTAAGTTAAAAATTCACTACTTAAAATATCTGTTAGAGATAGTCCTGGACCTACTCTTTATGTCAATTACTATTAAAGCAATTATAAAAGTTATTATTATTATTGATCCATTTATTATTATGGAGGTTGTGTATGTGGTTAAGATTAAACTGGAGGTTATTATTGAATTTAGATAGGATCATCCAAAACCTATGAATTGATTATATCATTAAATTATTTGCAATAATTTTCATCTTAAGTTTAATCATCAGTCTAATTTAAAATATATAGTAAATATTACTTGCATCCAAAAGAAATATTTTTAATCATCATCAGTAAATCTAAGAAGATATACTCTATTTTGACCTTTAACTTTTTCAAAAAATGTACATCCTTTAATTAAGATTCTTTCCTAGTTTAAATAATATAAAAGTTTACAATTTCTAATTTACTATCTAGATCTACATTATACCATTTTAACCACAATTCATTTTCATCATTCAAATATAAATTGAGTAATCCTTTTGCTTTTACAATAATAACTTTTTTTGTTTCTTGATTGTAATCATATCTTCCACAAGGAATTGTTACTTCCTGAAGCATTAATTNAATCTAATGAGTCTGCCAAAAAGGAAGCCATTTAAGATGAGAAATTAAACTAGCTATCAAAAGTACGCCAAAAATTTTCAGTTTTAGGAAGTTGAAGAATTAGAGTTAATTGAATCTAAAATTAAGGAAAAATAATTATAGCTAGCATAATTAGACACAAAATTAATTGAACAAATATCACAAACAAGCTATCAATTTTAATAGCAAATATTAAACATATCAAATGATTTAAATAAGAATTAATGAATTAAATAAATTATTTCTATGCTATCAATTTTTATTTTAATCCTTTCTAATAATAGCTTTAATAAAAGCTATAACACCATCAAATTCCTATTCTAATACTCTATAATCCAAGTCTAATTACTGAATCACAGAACTCCTTTCTCTTCCCTTTAAAGCATGAGTCAATTAATCTAAAGCCTATTTAAATTAAGGACTTAGTAAATTCTCCTTAAATTATTCAAAACTTTACTAATCAGGAGGTAAATAACTATTATAATTTAAATTATTTACTCTTTTAGAGCCTAGAAGTATTCTTCATCTTTGGCAATTTAAGTTAAAAATTCACTACTTAAAATATCTGTTAGAGATAGTCCTGGACCTACTCTTTATGTCAATTACTATTAAAGCAATTATAAAAGTTATTATTATTATTGATCCATTTATTATTATGGAGGTTGTGTATGTGGTTAAGATTAAACTGGAGGTTATTATTGAATTTAGATAGGATCATCCAAAACCTATGAATTGATTATATCATTAAATTATTTGCAATAATTTTCATCTTAAGTTTAATCATCAGTCTAATTTAAAATATATAGTAAATATTACTTGCATCCAAAAGAAATATTTTTAATCATCATCAGTAAATCTAAGAAGATATACTCTATTTTGACCTTTAACTTTTTCAAAAAATGTACATCCTTTAATTAAGATTCTTTCCTAGTTTAAATAATATAAAAGTTTACAATTTCTAATTTACTATCTAGATCTACATTATACCATTTTAACCACAATTCATTTTCATCATTCAAATATAAATTGAGTAATCCTTTTGCTTTTACAATAATAACTTTTTTTGTTTCTTGATTGTAATCATATCTTCCACAAGGAATTGTTACTTCCTGAAGCATTAATTAATTAATATAATCAATTCAAAAATTACTTTATATACTTTCAATAATATGTATTTATCTTAAGACTAATGCAACATTCTTTCTGAATTCTTAGAATTAATTGTAATCTAAATACATAGTTTTCTTAACTCCTTTTTTTGTATGGAATATTAAAAGAATTAATGGTCGAATGACCTAATCATTATTCAAAATTAAAGAATACTTTTCTCATTTTAATGCTAGATAATGTAATTTCCAATTTCCATTCTAATTTAGAGAAATCAGCCTCAAAAGATTCTAAATTAGTATTTTCTTTATGTTGTGTTTCAATAATGGTTTCTTATGGATTGATTGAATTTTCTATAATAAATTAAACTATAATACCTGGATCTGTATAGTATTTAATGAAAGTATAATTATTTAACTTTCTGTCAAAATGAATGATAGGTAATACTTAATCCTTAAGATAAAGCATAATTTATTAATCAATTTTGCTTATTTTCTCTAATGTTTTAATTTAATCTTATTATGATCGCATAGCCAATTCTTTTAAAGCTTTAGTACATTTGGTAACTAAAATTTTATCTTCTCTTCTCAATTCATCTCTATATTTTGTGAGTTGATTTTTATAATTTTTTTCTTAAAGCATTACATCTAATGCCACCTGAAGTATCATCTAATGATTTTCATGTTTTTTTAATAATTCTACAAATTTCATATTGTAATCCATTTGATATTAAATATGATAATAATTATAATAAGAATTATATTATAATAATAATCATATCTATATATCAGATTCATTTCTACATTATTCATAATACTTAAACTTTCTATAATATATATATATATATTATATTAATTATAAAATGTATAAATTTTGTAAATAGATAGTTAAAATAAATCATGTACCAGCCATTCTAAATAAAAACATCAATAATGATTTAGCTTTTAAAAAAGACTTTGAACTTAATTCTGAAATTATTATCCTAAATTAAAGAATTTAAAATAGAGATAAACATAGTGATCTATATTCATCAATATTTGGAGGAATTATTATTACATTAGGAGTCTATGCAATATATGAAGTTTATTTCAGCAAATCTGAATAATAATTGAATAAACTTAAATTCAGTGCTAAATGTTACTACTCATGTAAGTATCTTCATTTCAAGCCATAGCCTTTTATTAAAGAGATTTGACATACATTTTGAATTATATAAATGAAATGAAAACAATAGAAATCAAAAATACAGGCTTCATGATTTACTTACTTAGTACATTGAAACATTAAATTAATAAAAGTAATTACGATAATCTATGTTTAATCTATGAAGAAGTTGCTAAAATATTATTTACTCATGAAACATATATAAAAATCTATGCATAAAAATACTCTAAATATTTTGCAGATTTATTAGATTATGCTATTGCAAATGATTTACAACTTAAAGAACAACTACTCCTTCCATCCTTAATTGCTTATACAAATTCTTAAAATATTTTAACAGAAATTTAATCATTATATATTCTTACTAAGCATAAACTATAGGATTCCAAACATATCGATTAATTTTATAATCAATATAAAAAAGATATCTAAACAGAATATGTGAATAAAACTGAATTATTTGATATATTGAAATCAAATAGAAGTTTATAGGATTATGAAACATTTAAATAACTTTATGAAAATTCATTGTAAACTGAAAAACATAAACTATTGAAATAAGTAATATAGAAATAAAATTTATGATTTTTATTGATAAATAAAGAGTTTTTATTTAATTTTAAATAAATAATAAATCATATATATATTTAAATACTTAGATTTCATAAATAAATAATATAGTTTATTCATTTTTAGATATCTTTCTAAAAATTTTCCAATTTTATTATAATCTCTGATTATTATTAATATAATTTTGTATCTACTTTCAAATTTGATCTATAATCTTAAAATTCTTTACTTGTAATCATCTATGAGATTTCATTCTTTAAGTAATTTCTATATCTATATATTATTTATAACTAAGAACTTATAACATATTCCCATGGTATGTAGTATAATTCTCTTGTTATGTCATCAAAAGATTATGGAATATTTGTAATGATTATTCGATTACCTGTTTATTCAAGTCCAATTTTTAAATTATATTTAGTTAACAAATAATTTCTAATATTTTTTTCACTTAATAATTGAGCCAAAATATCTTCTTAATTATTTGATTCTATTTTTTCTAATCTTAAAGTTAAGTATTTAAATAAATATGGAAATGGTTAATCCATTGCTATAAAATCACAAAGTAGTATTTTAATATAGAAATATTTATTACATTAATACATATCTCTTTAATCTTTATCTTTATTATAAATTGAATAGGAAAATCTATTATCAAAATTAAATCTAATAATTTCTTATTCAGTTTTTATAATATTTTCCTTTTTTAATAACATACCTAAATGTTTAATGAGACAAACTATAATTACATCCTTTGCATGTTTTATATAATCTAATCTAGATAATTATTCAATATCATATTTATACCATTCCAAATAATCCTTATATAATATATTAATTGGAATCATATTAATTTGACATCTCAAATCTTAATATGCTTCAAAGATTTAATATTTTTATTGTTAAAATCTTTAAACTAACATTCTTAATTATGATTCTAAAACATAATCTTACATATTGTCCATATACAATTTATCATAAAATAAATTTTTATGTAATTAATGTAAATGCAAATTGTATTCTTATAAAATATAACTAGGAGTTTTTTTACTTTGATCCATTAACACAACCTTTTATTCCCAACATTTCTTTCTTACTTCTGGTATATTATATATTTTTCTTAAGAAATCAAGTTTTTTTGATAATTGTATTACACATTATCTTTTTGGATTTGATTTATTTTTATCTAAATCTCCTTTCATTTAAATATATATTAATATTTCTGGAAATGATATTTATGAAACCCAACAATTTAACATAATAATCTTTTATAACCATCTTAATCCATTTTTTCTAGGCATCAATATTGATTTATTAAATTAACCATTCATAGATGATTTAGTTTTACAGTATAAAATAAGATTATTAATTATTCTTAATAGTTTATTAATTTATGGATCTAAACTATCATCATAATATTAGAATAATTCTAAATTTTTCATTAATTATGTTTTACATGATTTTAAATCAAGAAACATTTCATTTAATTCAGTTATGATATTTTCCTTACTCTTTTCTAATTGTTCTAAACTCATCATTAATAATTCTTTCATTTTAATAATTTGTATACATTTCAAATTTTAATTTAATTCTTCTTCATTTTTATGATCTTTTATTAATGTAAAATTTAATGAATCTAACAAAGAATTTTCACATTTTATTTTTAATTTAATAAATTATTCTTTTTATTTCTAAAATTCAATAAAATTTAGAATAAATGGTAATGGAACTTAATTTATTATTAAGTATAATAATTTCTGTTTTATTTCATTCTTTATTTTTTAATTTATTTCTACTTCATCATCTTCACTTTCTTAAATACTTTCATCTTATCTCAACTTATCTTGATTTACTTTTTAATTAAATTTAAGTTTTCTCTCTATAGGTATTTATCTACTAATATGTCCTTTATTATATACAGCACTTAAAATTTATTATACTTCTATAACCTCTTCAGTTTATGTTGTTATATTTTTGTAATTTTCATAAAGTTAATCAAAATTTCTATCAAGTGTAATAATAGATTGATTTAATTTAGCAATTTTGTTATGTTTCATCAATTTAACTAATAATTTAATATTCTTCTTTCTTTAATTAACTGGTTAAATTTAAAAAGAATAGGAGTCATCTGAAAAATCTAACATTTTAATTTTTTACAAAATCACCTCAATATTTTTGAAACCATAAATGAACAAATTCAATAATGACTTTTTATTTTAAATTGATTTAGCAATTAATATAAAAAATAATTATAAATTTACAATTCAAATATTTATATCATTCATTTACTTGCCTAATTAAAAACATCTAATTATATTCTCATCTATATAATAAATTCATTATATTATTATATATGAATTTATTTTTAAGTACCATCTAAAATGAACTGAAACTTAATGCAATAAATAAAATATCATGTTTAATATATCATTTGTTAATAAAATTAATAATGCTCAATACATCATAGACTAAATCAACAAATGAAATCCCTAATTTTGTTGTTATTGATAATGAATACATAATTGTGAAAAACATTTATAAAGGAAACACCTACAATTTATATATAGGTAGAGATTGAAAGCCTAGCTAGCTGTAAAAAGAGATTGTACTGACGATTAAAACAAGTTCGTATTGATCAAAATGCGCAGGTAGTCAATTCCATTTATTAAAGAACTAATGCTTCAGAATAAAATTTTGAGTAGTACTTCTTAAATAAACTAAAAGACAGTAAAATATAATTATTATATAGGTAAATGCACTACTAAAATTCTTTCCATAGGAGAACAAACAATCAAGGAACAACTTTATCATTATTAAATTATGGAACGTCATGGTCCCTCTTTAAAATTAGTTTATAACTATTTATCTAAAAACATTCCTATTACAATCCTATGTTTAATGGCAATTCAGACTGTAAATATTTATAATTAATCTAGCTTACTTGTCTTGAATAGATCCATAAACATTTAATTATACATCGTAATATTAGACCTAAGAAATTGTTAATTTCTTAAAGCGGTTCTGAAATTTTATTAACCGATTTTAAGTATGCATGTAGATATAGGAAACAATAAAATAATATCTTTCTTAATGATAATTTACGCAGTTCTTCCAATAAAAGATTTCTAAACAAATTTTCAAGCTTAAATCAACATTTAGAATAAGGTATATTTAATATAATAGAATTAAGTTTCTTCTCCTAAAGATGATTTAGAATCTCTAGCCTTAATCATTATATATTATGGAGGATTTGCTCCTATCTTAGATATAAAAGAAGAAAATAAAGGAATAAAAATTAAAAAATTAGAACAAATCAAATTAACTCTATTGTCAGAACTATAATTCAAAGGAGCACCTTTAGAGTTTATTTAATTTTATAATGGAATTAAATAATCATGTGTTAGTGATTATCCCTAAGATTATGAAAAATACAAATTATTATTTAGAAAATTATTGAATAGTTGTGGTTATACAGAAAAAGATATAGTTTACCCTCATTTATAAATTATGAAACAATATAATAATAATATGAAAGTAATCATTGAGGAATAAGAAACTTAAGCATAAATGGATTCTATTGATGAAGATCATAGTTTGTTAAGAAAGATAAAGGAATTAGATGGAAAAAGATATCACAGATTAATTTCTTTAGAAAATTAAAATCAAAATACTCAGAAAGAATGATTAGAATAAATAATTAATATATTTATTATAATTTAAATTATAGATTTCTTAGAAAATCCGAACAATATTGAATCATCAAAAAGGCTATAATAAATATCATTTTGAAAAATCAATAAAGTAAACTAATTGATAAAAGATAAACTAAGTTTTTTTTTGGAAATAAAAAAAAATAAAAAAACTTTAATAAAAGAACCTTAGAATTAACCTTTCTTTATTAATAATGGGAAGTTTTAGAAAAGAATATGAAATGCTCGTTTTATCTGTCTGTTATATATACAAAAAATGTATTAAAATTATATGATTATTTTAGATTAATAATTTTGATATCACATTTGATATTCAAGAATCTCTTTCTATTAAATATTTAGCAAAATCTTTTAATCTGGCTTTTGCCTCTGGACAATCAAATTCTAAATTCTCTACTTCTTTCCAAGCTTCTTCAATAATCTCAAGAGATCTTTTATGAGCATATTCTAAACTGCCTGTTTATTTAATAATTGAAATAGCCTATAATTTTAATATTTATGTTACTTCATTTATTAATTCTTAATCTTCAGTACGAGATTTTAGGATATCAAATAATCTCCCTTTTTTTTGTTTCAAACTATGTATTACAATAAGAGAGAATTTTCCTTCATGGATATCTTCTCCTAAATAGCCCTTTGTCTTTTTATATTTTTCACCTCCATTCAAATTTAATATATCCTAACAAAATACTAATAGATACATCTTAAATTTGAAAAGCAATACCAATTTAAGCAGCAAATTTGGCTAGAGCTTCTCCAACTTTCTCATTTTTGTCTAATACAATACAAGATAATTATGCTGCCATACAAGAAAGGGCTCCTGTTTTATATTAGGCCATTTTCAAATACTGTTCTTCTGTTGGTATGATATCACTATTCTATTTATGCCAATAAATATCCCAAGCTTAACCAAAATGAACAACTCTCATATTATTTAGACATATAGCTAATATTTTCATTTTTTTTTGATCAGAGTAATTTGCAGAATTTAAGAAATAATGCAACGGAGCAAAATAAACGTAATTACCTGCATTTACTGCAACATCCACACCATATTTAATATGAATACATTTATCATTTCTTCTTACAACACTATCATCCTCAATATCATCAACAACTAATGTAGCATTATGTATTAATTCAACCAATGCTGCTACTTCATATAATTCTTTATGATTTCTATTAAATAAATCAGCAATCATAAAGCAAAGTGCTGGTCTCCATCTCTTTCCACCTCTATCTAATAAATCATATATAGGATTGCTGATGCTTCTTGTTAATGTTTCAACATCATCATTTTTGGAAAATTATGGATCATTCTAATTAAACACTCTTGGCAATATTTTTTCAAAGTATAAACTGCTCTCAAATTTTTTCACATCTGCCTTCAATTATGTCATGAATTCAAGCTTTGAAAAAAATGATCTTCTTAAATTTCTTATTAGCATTTATAAAAAATAAATTTTATTCAAAGTAGAAATTAAGTATAAGAATAAAAAAAGGGGATCCGATAATTATTTAAAATTCATTAAACACATGAATTATGTTTTGTCTTAAAGTTTGCATCTTACAAATCAATAAAATATAAGAATCTTAAAAATTCAATAAATTATATAATCTTCATTAAATGCGAATATATTTCTAATGCATAAAAACAATACTTGTTAAATTGTTCAATTATAATCCTAATGCAATTTTTATAATATCTATAATCTTTGTATATTTATTCAAGCTAATTTAGATGTAATCAAAGTGTTAACTTTTGTAATAGATGAGTATTTTTGTTGCAATTATTTGAAGGTTTAATCATTAAAAAATGATTTTACAGACTTCATAAATGATTAGCTTATTATCTTAACTTCAATATTACAATTAAAATGATTCAGCATTATAATTAATGAAATCAAAATAATTAACTCCCTAAAGAGTAGTGTCTACTATAAAATTGAGAAAAGCACTTTATTATTATAAGAAAGACAAAGAAGTATTAGACCTAAAGATCAAGTTAAATGAAATGTGTGAATCTACTTTTCTCACTAATACAGAACTCCATCACATAATCCGTTCAGTTTCTAGAGGGAACTCTCCAGCATAATAGAAATTTCGAATCCGTACAGAAACAACTACCATTACTACAGGACCTAAGACACCCTAACATAAATTCAAAAAATTCGATTTCACCACAACAGCTCATCTCTATTTTGCTTGATTATTATTATAATGAATAACTCCACTTTTAATTTTCCATGCTCAACATAAACAAATCTATCAAATTTATTCTTTTCACAATAATATACACTTCACTCATGTAATTCTGATTCCTAAATAATTCTCCATAATATAAATCTACTGATTTCAAAAGTCAGAAATTAAAATATTTCTTGTCATTCAAAAAATTATATATATTACCCTTTGTTATTTAACATTACTATCTAAATCACAATTCTAACAAGAATTATTTGAAAGAATTTCGAATTATCTTTTGATGAAGAATTAAAAAAATAAAATAGGAATTTAATCAATCTTAATATAATACAAGATATAAATTAGAATCATTTATTTATTATATCAATAGATAGATAGAGTAAACGTTGTATTGAAAAAATTAACTATTTATTTACAATATATATAATTCCATAAGATTATATCCAATCATTATGGATTTATTCTATTCAACATTAATATAATTAACAAACTCTAAATATATATCCAAATTTAAGTATACATCAAATATCTTTCAATGATTTAATATTCAATTACTCTATTTTTAAAGATTTTCTTTATTTATAAACTACAAGAATTATGTCTTTCTATTTAGATCATAAATATTATTATAATATGCATAATCAGTCATTTTTTGTTGTTTTTTTGTAAATAATCATTTATTTTATTTTAATTCCATTCTTATTATTTACAGAACTTTAATAAGTTTGGGATTTCTTGCAGATATTAAATATTGATATGAATTTTAGATGAATATTAGAAATCTAAGATTTTAGTATTAAATTGTGTTAATAATTACTATACTATAATAACTATTTTGAAATTATGAGTATTATATAAGAATATTATTTATAATTTTGAAAAAAGAATATAAAATTGAAAAATATAAAAATTTGTAACAGTACAAAATTATATAAAATACTTGTATTTAATTTAAAAAATAATGTCTTTAAAATAGGGTATAGATTTTTGTAATAGTATTTTTAATTTAAATTCTTACAAAAGATCAACTATTTTATACATCACTATTATATTCCATTTGTTAATAATATTATTGTTAGAGTAAATAAAGAAATAATTTATAAATATAATTCCCACGTGTGTAAGAGGAATTAAAAGGGAAAAAATAATGTGTAAAATCAATAATAAAAATGGCAAACAAAACCAAGATTCTTAATTATATGAGACCAGCAATGGCTATCATTCCAGATGTAGCTGAACCAGAAAGAAGAGTATAATCATATATATTAAATTTAGATATTATTTAAATATAGAGCATTATGGACAGCTATAGCAACATTATTGTATTTGATTTGTTCATAAATACCACTTTATGGAATTTACAAATCATCAGCTGGTGATCCATTTTATTGGATGAGAGTCATCTTAGCATCAAATAGAGGTACTTTAATGGAATTGGGTATTTCTCCAATGGTCACAGCATCAATGATAATGTAATTATTGGCTGGTGCTAAATTAATTGATGTTGATTAAAATGTAAAGGAAGACAAATAACTATATTCAGGAGCATAAAAATGTATATAATTATTAATATGATTTATAGTATTGGGAATTCTTATAGCTTTTGGAGAAGCATTTGCATATGTCTGGTCAGGAATGTATGGTGATTTAGATAAATTGGGTGCAGGAAATGCAATTTTAATAATAATATAGTTGGTATTTTCAGCAATTGTTATGATTATGATTGATGAATTATTATCAAAAGGATATGGAATTGGAAATTCAGGAACATCTTTATTTATAGCTATTAATATATGTGAAAATATTATGTGGAAAGCATTTTCACCAATTACTCATAAAACTTAATTGGGATTAGAATATGAAGGAGCCATAATTGCATTATTGCATGGTTTATTTATTTAGAGTGATAAAATCAGTGCACTTCAATCAGCAATATTGAGAGATTCATTACCAAACTTAACTAATTTATTGGCAACAGTATTAGTTTTTTTAATTGTCATTTATTTCTAAGGATTTAAAGTTGATATTCCAATCAAAAATAATAAAGTAAGAGGAGGATTAACATCATATCCTATTAAATTGTTTTATACTTCTAACATTCCAATCATTCTATAAACTGCATTAGTTTCAAACCTTTATTTCCTTTCATAAATTCTTTACAGAAATTTCAAAGGCAACTTCTTAATTAGATTATTGGGATATTATTAAGAATTAGAAAATGGATAGACAGTCCCTATTGGAGGATTAGTATATTATGTGTCTCCTCCAAGATCAATTTCAGAAGCTATCTTTGATCCAATCCATACCATCCTTTATACTGCATTCATTCTTGGAACTTGTGCTTTGTTCTCAAAAACTTGGATTGATGTATCAGGATCATCACCAAAAGATGTAATATTGTTCTTTAAATTCATTCATAGGTTGCCAAATAACTTAAAGAATAAGACATGCAAATTGTTGGATATAGAGATTCATCAATGAAAGATGTATTAAAGAGATATATCCCAATTGCAGCTTCATTTGGAGGTATGTGTATTGGAGCTTTGACAATCCTTGCTGATTTCTTAGGTGCCATTGGTTCAGGTATATATTAATATTAATATATAAAGGAACTGGAATTTTGTTGTCTGTTACAATCATTTATGGCTACTTTGAAACCTTAAAGAAGGAAAAAGAATAGGGTACATTAGAGTTGTTTTGATATAATTAAATATTTTTTTAAGTACATAACATTTATGACGCAGAATGTGTTAAAAGAAGAAAAAACAAATTAAATATCATCATATATTTGAGTTGAGTATTGGATTTTAAACTATTACATTGTACAATTTACGAACAGATGTAATAGTATTCTCAACTACACTCTAGACTATGAAATGATGAGGTGGTACTCTCAACAAACTCACGCCAGCAGTTCGAATGTCAGGAATTGTAGATTCGGTTTCACTTTGGCTACTGAGAGCCTTACGACGATACTCATTATAAGCGATCTTGGCTTCATGGTATGTGACCTTTAATTCTCTGGCAGCATCTTTTAATTAAACACCTTTATTAATAAGAATGATCAGGTCTTTTTTTTATTAAGAATTAAGAGGTTGATGAATGCGAATAGGTTATACTTTCTTTATTTTTTACATCTCCATTTCGACTTGTTTCTTGATTTCATCTAAAATTTTCATTTTTTGTAATTTTTACATTTCCAACTCCCTATGTTGCTTCCTTATATTAACCATATAACGATAAATCATAGTGCGATCGGTTAATTTTATGATGTAAAGTACATTTCTTATAAGAATCATTAACTACGTCATATTTATAACCATGACATTCAAATCTAATCAGTATTTAATCATTATTCAAATATGTTGCGCATTATTAAAATTTAAACTTCTAATGATCTTTTAATTATAAAAGAAATCTTTTTAGAATTTATTTCTTTTAAATTCTTTATTAATCTTCTCCCTTTACATATATTTCTATTAGATAAAACAAGAAATAGATTTTTGTCTAATTTACATTTATGATTATAATACAAATAAATTTATAAAATAATAAAATATTGATATAATAAAGATGATTACTTTTATTAATATTTGTTGGTTGTCCTTAAAAAATGAATATCTCATAATAAACAAAACTAATCACTTATTATTTATATGGATTCTCTAAACTTTATTAATATATTCCACTCTAAAACCATATTTAATATGATGTAGCATAGAGCCATGTTTAATATTAAGTCTTTTAATCAAAAAAATTAATATAATAGAAGAAGCATCATATTCAAGTTATTCAAAAAACAATAGAATTTCCAAAATTGTTCTAAAAGTGATAACAAAAAAATTCATTTATTATATTATGGAATAGAAGTGAAATTTAATTGTACAATATTTACATATATATATTAATTAAAAGTAGTTATGAAAAAGTTATTACAGAGTTAACCTATTATAAGATTCTATTTCTTTTTCTAAACTCCATTTTTAATTTGTCATTTGCTTTGACAGTTTCAAAATCAAAATCTAATATAGTTATTTTTTGTTTTTAAGGTATTACATAATTATTTTTTTAATAATAAGTGTTCAATTCATAAAATATACAAACTCAGATCATAATCTTCCATTTCATTTGTTTTAAAATCATTTTTCTAATCCAAATTAACTAAGATAAAATTGTATTTTAAAATATGTTTCATCCTAACGATCATATAATATTTAATAGATTTTATAAAATTCTTATAGCTATTAAACATTAATAGAGATTGTTTTTACATAATGAGTAATTTAAGAATTTTGAGATAACTAAAAAAATATTTGATTATTATTTTTAAGGGAATTAAATTTAAATTGTTTTGATTAAAATATTCTCAACTCAAATGAATAAATAAAAATACAAAATCAAAGGCCAGCTTCATCATCCTCATCGTTTCCACTAAATAATTTAAGTTATTCATAATTTCCTTTTTCCATGTAGGATGAGGACTTCTTTGGTGGTTTACTACTAAATATTCTAGAATTAATAAATGAAAATAGTTACTTCATTATTTTATCCTTTAAGAATAGAATGACTATAATGACACCTAAAAAGGCTACAACATACCATAAATACGAATATTATTTTTAAGAATTGTTGTATTAAGTTTAAGGGATCTTAATTTATGGTTTACTTATTTGAGGTTATTAGATATCAATATTTGGAATTTCAGTATTATTGAAAGAAGTATTGTTTGTCTATGTATTGGGACAAGGTGTTTCGACAGGGGAAAGATCAATACCTCCTTAGCAATAATCTCCAGAAACCTTTCTATAGCCTTATGTTTTCATGTAAGTTTATTTGCAATTAACAGGAGGTTTTAATAAATCTGGAGTATCATCTTCTTCAAATTTATCTGCTATTGGCACACAGGGTCCTCCTTCTATTTTTCTATAGAAACCGAAATCACATTCCCAATCATCTTCTATGCAAGGACAAGTTTCTATGAAGAATTTTTTATCAATTTCTTCTTGATTGAAACATTTTGCCTCTCTTTTTCTTCTAATGTATTTGATTTTTCTACCAAATAAACATTTACCAGATTCGAAATTTTTAGGAATCCAAAATTCATAATCTGATTCTGGCATTGTTGGATCCCAAGCACCAGAGCAGACTCTTTAATGAAGAGTTTAGAAATTCAATGCTACAACATATCCTTTTAATTGATTCTCTTATGATCTACTCTATCCATAAAGAATAAATTTTTATTCCATATTAGAAGGCTCAGTTACAATATTTAGAATTTCAAATTCCTTTTCACTTATTTTAACTTCCTCCCATGAAAACCCTTAATCCCAAGAATAAATGACTTTATTGATAGGTTTATCATCTTATCCCATAACAATCAAACCTCCTCTATCTCCAATCTCATACATATGGGAACCTTTTCTGATTTCAAACCATTAATGTCCTCCATCTCTAGTTAAATATGTATTGACTTCATGATCCTTTTAAGTCAAATATAATCCAGTATTTCCAACACCAATACTAACTCCAGGAGCATTTTAACTAGAATAAAGAGGATTTTAATTGGCTTCAGTTCTACCTTTCAAATGTAAAGAGCAATCTCCAGAACATTAAATTTCATCACCCTTGGAATCAATTTCTGGAGCTTTTAATGGATGCCATTAGCCACCTCTATCATAGGAGATAAACTAAAAAATATGAATTTAGTAATCATACAGTTTTTTTATATAATTCTAAGGTAGCAGGAGTGATAGAACTTCTAGATTTTGACTTTTCCACTTCTTGATGATCAAAAACATTGGCAACATAAACTCCTTCCATACCTAACATTCTTTCAAAGTCACAATTTCCAGTATCAAGAGATCTAACATTATGTAATAAAGATAAAGTAAATTTAAATCCTCTAAAATCACTTACATATACATTAGTTAATCTTTGATTTTCTTCTTTATGAGAAACAGATAAAAATATTTATCCTTCTGAAGTGTCAAGGATAGTAAAGGTATGTTAATTTAAAGGAATAGGTAATTAAACAGGTTATGGTTAGAATTTATCTAAATAAGCAGGAGCAATTAATAATTCATATCCAGTTTCTCCATCTTCACCTGTAGTAAGAACAAATATGTAATGGGATGTTTAGAAGAATCCTAAAGCATTTTCTTGCATTGTTTATATAGTAGTAAAATAGTCATCAGAGTAGGAAATAACAGATTTACCTTCTTTCATATGACATACTATAATTCTTTAATCAGGAATTAATTGATATTGTAAGAGCTTATCCCATGCTGCATCTCTAACATAATTTAATGCAGACTTCCAAGTTTCACCTCCATCTTCAGTCACATAAATTGATTTTTTATAAAAGTCTTTACAATTATTATCGTTTTTGCCACAAGGTTTATCTTTAAAAGCCATAATCCATTATGGATCCATCTTATTCAATTTAAAATCATAAAGATCTTCTGAATGTGAGAACCTTGTATAAGTTCTTCCACAATTCTTAGATTTATAACTAATACCATTTGAACCAAAAAAGAATATAACCCTTGAATCAGCTGGTGAAATATGAATACTTTCGAATTATAATTATTTATTCTCTGGTTCCATCTTTTCCCAACTCTTTGTTTCATCTAACCATGTTGATCCATAATCTGCTGATCTCCATATTCTCCCTTTGTCTGTAAGAATAAACAACACTTTTCTGCTCTCCTAATGTGTTTATTCAATTGTTTCATCATCTTTTGTAAATACAACAGATGATCCACACCAATAAATATTAGACACTGGAGATTCAAGTTCATTAAATGAAACCTTCACTTCATTCTAGCCTTACACAAATAAAATCAACAGACCTAGAATTATTATCATTACTTAAATAATAACACGTAAATTAATTAATATATGTTTCAAAGCACTTCTCATTCATATATATTTTCTGTTAATGAATAAAAATTAATCCTTAAGCTATACTATTTTAAGAAAAAAATCAGCATTACAAACTTCAGACACTACAAAAATAACTTAATAATAAAGTTTAAATAAGTCAAGAGCCAAATCAATCACTTCTACAGCAATCAAGTTATTTCTATATTCTAATTTATCTTAGGAAACCTATAACAATAATCAAGCCTCCTTAAATAAATTTAAATAAGATCGATGTCAGTCCTTTCACCTTTGCCAATAGACTCTCTCATGATGGTTCTACTGATTAAACAAACTCTGCTAGTCTTAATAGCGATTAAGAACAATAAAGAACTATTATACCATAAAAGAATAATTAAGAATAGCTATAAATTTTGAAACGCTAAAAGCAAATTCTAGAGTATAGACTTAGATAGGAAACAGAATCATGTTAGCAATATTAATAAAACTATCATAATTTATAAGAACTTTTACAAAAGCTAGAACATGCTAAATCAAATTATATTCATGAAATGAACTCCTTTACTTAATGCTTAAGATTGGTTTTAAACAATACTGATTGATTTTAGTTTAAATGTAATTTATAAATATAAATTTATCAATATATTGCTTAGGTGAGTTCACATAATTGATCATAAATGTCCAATAATTAATTATGTGTAGTTTTGAATGAAAAGTTTTCTAATTAATTATGTTCCACTAAGATTTCATTCTCATTATAAGAAATATTACATTCATTAATATTATATATCATTTGAGCTTTGAGACAATTTGAATTTTTAAATATTTAAATCTATCTATTACTATACTGCAAATATCTAAAACATATTAAAATATTTTACTTCTCTTAGATTGTCTCATCTTCAAATTTAACTAAACAATTTCCAATATTTTTGATATAAAGATCAGTAGAATCACTATTAAATTCATTACTACTTTTTTTTGAAGAAGTCAAAGAATTTAATGAATCTATTACTGTAATCTCATTAACATTAGGTCTTTATTTTGGATCGTTATTCATACATTCTAAAATTATTTCTGATATTTTTGAATATTTATCTTTTAAAATCTATGGAAGTATACTCTTTTTGGCTTCATTCATAACTTTAATTGTTTCCATAGAAGTTGATGTAGGATGAAATAGTAATAAAATTATCAAACCTAACGCATAAATATCACTTTTTTAATCAGAAAAACTTTTGTTTATTTTTTAATTAATTTATTCAGGAGCTGCATACATTTTTGTACAGATATCATCATCATTATCTTAATCTTCATAATCATAAAATTATTTAAGTTTTGAAACTAAACCAAAATCACCTATTTTAACATCTTCTGGGCTATTCATGAAAATATTTCCAGGTTTCAAATCTCTATGTACTAATTTACATTCATTATGTAAATAGTCTAATCCTTATATTATTTGATCCAATATCATTTTAGCTTCTTTAATATACTTTTACTGGATATTTTGATAATTATCATCTTTACTTTTCTTAAGTTTCAACAACTCTGTATTTCTCTATTATAAATAATTTTCTAGAGTTTATTGACAAAGCTCAGTTTAAATGTAAAATATGATTCTATCAAATTCAATCTTTTTTTCATCTTAACTAATTGACTTTTTGTTTTAATTAATAGGATTATGTTTTTTTCTAGTAACTCTATAATTTTATTGAATATTATTCTCTTATTCAGAATAACTAATCTATTCATTCTATGAATCTTTAAAAAAAATTATATTCTCTAGATCATTCTTTGAATTTTATTATGAGTCATTAAAATTAATATTATAACTATCGAACACAAAGTCATTTATTTCTTACTCTTGTTTCCTTATTTTTATAGAATCCACCTTATTTGGCATTACTTCAACCCAAGAATTGAAGTATCTTATGATTTTGGGATGGGATAGTCGGGCTAAATATTTTGCTTCTGAGAAGGAACTTATTAATTAAAACATCATACCTCTTTAAGCTCTTTGAATATTCTTCTCATGACTCTCCTTCAAGTCCTTTCCTTTTAGTTCAATCTTATAATATATATATTTTCTATACTTCTTTCAAAGCATAAGTATTTTTATCCAAAAGGTTACTTACTTTATACACTTTAGAAAATCCGCCCTTTCCTATCCTTCCTAGCACTTTGAAATCTGATTCTAATCTCTAAAATAAAAATATTATATTTATGTGTTTTTTATATGGTAGGCATACATTTTATAAAAACAATGATTGAGTAAAATACCTTAGACTGCAAAGCGGCTAGTTTGGCAAGATCGATTGGAAGCATTATGATTCAATTAATCAGAAAAATATTATAATATTTAGAAATATTAATTAGTAAGTTAAGTATCAATAATTTAATCAGAAAATATATCTATTTTCTAATACCAGAAAGTTCTTTTCATTAAGCTTTTTTGTTCTATTTAATTATTCAATAAAAATAAATTATGAATAATTATTATTAGAAAATAAGTGTGTTTTATTAAAATTAAAAAATTCATTCTTGTAAATAAAATCTTTATAAAGAAAATCAAAAATAATTAATACTTACTATGATTTTATAAGTTCTCTTGATTTTTATTTAAAGTATAATAATATTTATTAATGATATAACTATGATTTTATATTAGAGTAATTATTTCTATTGAAGTGAACATAATTATTGCTAATTTTTATTTTTTTAAATAGATAGATATATAAAAATCAAGTTGATTGCTATATCTTAACTATATTCCATCTAAGATATTTTATCAATTATATTATAATATGAAATGAATATTTAAAATTATATTTGTTTGGTTTTATATAATATTTTAAACTAACATTTAAGTATTAATAAAATCTTATATAATTTCCTACTAATTTTCTCATAGCTAAATTTAACTTATTTTAATACCAATTATCATACTAACACTAATAATATTTAATTAAAGGTGAAAAGAATGCTGAACTTTAATTTCAAATTTAAACTCTTTTTTTAATTTTTAATATTTGTTTAACATAATGAAAAAGACTAATACATCATGCATAGAACTCTTCTAATTATATTATTCCCTAAACTCTAAGTTAATTATCTTAAATTTCTAAAATCTTCAACTAAAAGTTGATTATTTCATTTAAAAAAGAGAACTCAAATAAGAAGTTCTTACATCCAAGTTTTTGAATATATTTGTTTCTAATGAATATGAACTTTAGATATTTTTGATAAGTAAGAAAAATAGTTTGAATATCTAACATTATTTGTACAATTTTGATATTCCTAATAGATTCTCAGATATATATCGATACTTGATTATTTATGTATTTTGTATTCAGAAAAGAAGTCAATCTCACTAATTCTGTGTTACTTGAAATTTATGGATAACATTAATTATTTTAGTAATTAATAATGTCCTAAAGGAAGAAAAAAATAGAAGCAACACCTACAAGAGTTGCTTTGGTTTGTTTGAAGACAACATAGAATAATATCTAAATCAATAATCAGTCCTTATTAAAGATTTTCTCCTAATATGGCTCTATATCAAAAGTATTCCAAATAGTGATATATAATATAATAGATTTTAATATTTGAAAGAGGATAGCTTTAAACAAAAGTATTTATTGAATATGATGAAGTTGATTCTGCTATTGATGCAATCAAGTAAGTATTCAATTTTTTATAATAGATCTATGAACAACACAAAAATCTTAAATTAAATTTCATGCAATGTTTATCATTCTAGATTGAAATAACTAAAACTTGATACTGTTCCTTATACTAAAGGTCTAGACTTTACTAACCCTCCTTCTAATACTGCTGATTAAATGGAATCAAATGAGGAATAACAAGAAATAGTTAAAATCAATTAATGGGAAGACTTTTAATTTGATAACAATTCAACAGATGAAGTTTCTGATGAAGAGGAACCTTAATTTTCAGAAGAGAAAATGAGTGATATTATTACAAAACTCAATTAAATAGATGATGAAATTAATAAAACAATTGAAACTAAAATTGTTACAGCTTTAGATAAATTACAATAAAATACTATGTGCATTCAAGTATTGATCACATATGATATATTAAATGATATGAATTTTGTTATCAAATTATTTTGTTTCTTTGGATAAATTGTAAAAATTAATTTATTATTTAGAAATATTTAAAATAAAGTTAAATTTATATCTATATCAAATATGGATCTAATCAATAATGCTAAAAAGCATTTTAATTGCTAAAAGATTATTTAGAAATTAAAATTTAATATAATTTTGAAAATGTAAATGGTAAATTAATTCAACCTGATAATATTATAAATTAAAACTCATTAGATGCCATTGAAGATTAATCAGCTATATAAGAACTTTTTTAGTCATATAAAATTATTAAATAGTAGAACAATAGTTTAATATAGATCAAATAATGAAGCAAATGAAATATTCAAAATTTAGTATTTCTCTCTTTTATAATTATCATTAATTCAAATTGAAATTTTTATTACTAATTATTAAAAAAATGGTCCATGAATAGATTCATTTTATTAATTATAATGATATTAATATATCTATTTAATAGTTTTAACATCAAATTTCCAAAAATAAGAAATATTTTTTATGAAATTCTCTATTTTATAGATTCTCAATTATATTTTATAAATAAATACTTCATAGATTTCTAAAAAAACTAAAAAAATAATAATTATTAATATTATATTCTCATTAAAGATTAAATATTGTAAATGATTTATGATATGTTTGATATTATTATTAAACATAAATTTATAAAATTTTACTCTATATAATTAAGAATAGAATTTCATTTTAATCATTGTTTTAATAAAAATAATTTTTCAAAACATGTAATTTGATTATTTTAATTAATTCTAGAACTTAATAAATACTTAAATAATTATCAATAAGAAGAACAGAGAAATAAAACTGAAAATAATAGACTAGTTTTATTAAATTGTTATTTGGTGTTATTTAAATATAAAAATTATTATGCTCATAGGTATAATCAATCTAAATATTGCAGTAACTTATCTTCATCTAATGTAGTCTAACTAAAGTTATCTTATTTTTTTTGGTATTTAGTATTTGATAATTAAACAAAATGCTTCTATCGAATAGTTTAATGCATCTATTCAATTAAAGCAATCTACATCTTTGTAGCTGTTATAGTAGGGTAGTTAATGTTAGGTGATTTAACTTTAACTGGTGAATTAGGTTATGATTGTGTTTGAATTGGTTATATTTTAGGTAATAATTTGATTGAAGGATTAATGGATTAAAATCTTTAAGTAGAGAGAGTTTAATTGATATCAGAATCTATTTTATACTTACGAAATAAGAAAGTGACTTACTTGAATTATTAATTATTATTGTTTTTCATTAATAATATAAAAATGAATCATTGGATGTGTTTACTTCCCAACCAGAAATTGATGCTTTTTATCTTGAAATAGGTGGCAACATTTATTTCTTGGATAATTCTTTAATTCTTGGTGAACGAATAGAAAGAGATCGTTCACTTTATAATTAAATCGTTTTTGATGAAATAGAAATGGGCAATTTAATTTTTTTAGGTTGTGGTACTGGTCTTTTGAATTTGACTTTTTTGATAATCTCATCAAAGAATTATAATTGCTCTTGTATTCTACTTTTTTTATATAGATTTGAAATGTCATTCATTGGTGGTGATAAGGGATACTATGTTATAAATCTTCTGTTCATTATTTGAATATATTTAATAACAAAATAAAACATCATAATTCTCAAATTCCAAATTATTTCATAAATAGATTGAAGTTTTTTTTAAATTATTCTTCATTTTATTATTTAATTCTGAGATCTAAATCTTATGTTAAAATCTAAAGTTATGAATGATCTAGTTATTAATCAGATCTCAGTAAAATTTTACTTAAAATTGTTACAAAAACTTATTAAAATGTGCACATTATAGCAAAAACTTATCTTGTTATTTTCTGATTAGTTTGTTATGAACATTAACCATTTATTAAACATAATAATAATTCTTTCAAAACAAGTTCTACTACACTATCTAAAGGTTAAACAAATGATTATAGCATTCCCATCTAACTCAATTACTATTCTTCTGATACAAATTCTAATACTGATAAAATAATTTCTGTTGTATGATCTAAAGTTACTTTATCTATTGGTTAATGGTATGTTGATATAGTTTACATCTTATATTCTTGTGATAATTAACCTAACATATGTTTTTATAAACTTTCAATAATAACCATCAATGTAGTCAATGATTGTGGATTCAATTCAAATAATTGTAACTATGATGAACTAACAACTTATAAAACCTATACTATTTATAGACAAGCTTTATTATACATAATGATATAATTTGAAATTTTTAATGTAACTTCTAATGCTGTTATAAGTTAATCTAAATATTTTCTATCAGCAAAGAGTAATTAACAAGATTATGAAATATATCTACCTTTCATGATATTATTCATAATTTTGAATATTAATCCAACTAATCTACAAATTTCTGCAGAATATTCCTATTTAACTTTTTCATTTTGAATAGCATTCATTAAATGTTGAAGATATGTTGTCAAAATATTTTGAAATGTTCTAACTAATTCAATTTATACAATTGAAGAGCTATGATATTAATATCTCAAACTCTTATTCTCAGTTATAGCTACCATTAATTTTAAACACAATTTACACATTTAAAATTGTTGAGGATTATCTATTAAAATAAATCTAGTTAAATCAGCTATTTTTATTAGATGTTATTTAATAAGTAATCTAAATATTTTACTAGTATCAACATGTCTAAAATAACCAAGCATTTCATATAAATAAATTAATATTGATTATTGTGTTGGTTGTATTGTTAAATACTAATTCAATTAAATTATTGATTCAATATAATTGTCATAAGCTGTGTCAAATAATAATATGGATAAAATTTCAGAAGCTAATGTTCGACAACTTAAAAATGTATCTTTTTATAATGCTGTATTTTTAAGATTTAATAAAATCCCTTTAATTTAAGTAACAACATTTGAACTTTAAAAAGCTTCATTATATAAATGATGTTTAAGTCTAACAATTGTTTCTTTCATAATTACTAAGGCATATTCTATTATTTCTTTATTTTCTATTTATAATTATAAAATTATGAATTATAAAAGTTAATTAGTAGCTTATTATGGTTAGATTTGAATTGGTTTAATAAATATATCAAAAAAAGTTTTATTGAATCTTTGTCTACCAATAGATTCATCTGATTCACTTAAACAAAATTAAAATAAATTATCTGCTAATGACATTGCAGACATAATAACTAAAGGTGGTAAATTATGAATAGAAACTTACAAAAAGTTTAATGAATCTTTTATTAATGTTTATATCATTTAAACTATTTCATCATTATTTTTTTCTAAAATTTATGGATTTATTACAATATAATTTATTAAACTTAATTCAATAATGAATTTTTCTTAATCTTAAGCTGCATTTTTAAATGAATGATAAATCATTTTTAAATGACTTGTTAAATCTATAGATAAAATTGGAAAAAGATTTTCAAAAAATTCTTTTAAAGTATGTTTTAATTTTTTATGATTCTAAGGAGTATAACCATGAAAAAAAGAATTTGGAGAATTCAATAATAAATGAATAATTGATTTACCTATTTCAGATAAAGCTTTGGATATTGATTATTTAAATGTAATATCCAATTTGAAATCTGTTATACATTTAACTAATTTCTTCATTAGTTCTATCATCTAATACATATGAAGATCCTTAATTTTCATTTATTTTTGTAAAATTTAAATACAAAATGTTTATAAACAATATAACCATTATTAACTAAATGTAAAATCAAATCTAATCTATCTCAAACCAAAACAATTATTTAATTTTGTATTTAACTCAAGAATATCACTTACTATTTCCTCATTAGCTTATTGTACTTTCTCAAAAAGAAAAATGCAACCTTAATACATTTCTTTTGCAAATAATCTTTTTTTTATTTTCTCATTAAATATTCTCTTCTTTGATGAAGCCATTCTCTTTAATGATTTCAAAGCTAACAAAGCTAATGATGAATCAATTTAATTGTATTAAGCTACTATCTTAAATAATATATCTAGCAATTGTCTATCATTAAAATACTCAGCAAATTTATCAGGAAACTAATCAAATATTAAATATTATATTTACACTAACATTGTTTTGATCATTTGGATCAAAATCTTATTCTAATTCAAAGTAACTAATATTAAAATTAAACATCAAAATATCTTTAAGTGAAGTTAATGCTGGCTTATAGAGATTTACAGTGCATTATTTTAAAACTGTGCATACAATTGACATAAAGTCTATAATATCACTATTTTAAAATTAAAAAATGATTTTTCTATATGAAACATAAGAGTCATATGATGAATAGAGTTATAAATTTTATAAAACATGCTAAATTAATTTAAAACCTATAGAAACAAGATAAGGTTGATTCCCTTAAAAAAATAAATTAAAAACTAACTTATACTTTTCGAATTAACTACTACTCATCATCATTATTTACTGAATCAACAAACCCACCAAATTACAGATTGAATTTTATACATGATTTTCTTATTGCTTTTAAAGATTTACACAAAATAATGAAACCAAAGTTTCATATACTATACATTTTTTGTCCAACACATCATTTTCTACTTTATTTAAAGATTGTCTCAAAATTGATTATCCATCTAATGAACTATGATCATCTAATTAGAATCCTTTAAAAGATCTTTCAGAAACTACAATCTTAGCTATATATTCTGATATCACAAATAAAGTAGACCCTGACTAAGTTTATTGTATGATCTAACATAAAATATCAATATTTCTTATATCCTCAATAAATTGATAAACTATCTATTCAGCCTATTATTTGCTCTTTAAATTTAAAAATTATAATTACTTCTAATGTTCTTGAGAAGCAGCAATCATTACATAAGGAGTCAAAATGTACTAAATTCATTTCAATTTAAATTATCAATAAATTTTATAAATAATTCTTCTATCTAATATTTATAGAATTTTGTATTTTTAAATAAAGGTTAACTAAGATGTATCCTCTTTATAGTAGATCGAATTAGCAATATTACCTTAAAGGAATTTTGTTTTGATATTTTATATATATATAAATATATTTTTTATAATTAATAATACCTATATATAATGTCTAACCATTTCCCTTAAGAAAGTTATGATATTTTTGATGTTTAAACAGCTTTAGAATACTTACCAGATGAAACAATGGTAAAAGGAGCTATAACCTTATTTTTAACATATTTTTAAGATGGAGAGGGATTTGATGAATTAATAAATTTATATGAAAAAGGAGGTTGGTAGTTAGTTGGAACACCAGCTTATTTAAAATTTGAATAATTGGCTCATTCAATAAAAGGAAGTTGTAGATATTTGGCTCTTCATAGACTTGAGAAAAAACTAGAATTATTACAATTTTTTATTAGAGATGGTAAAGAAATATAAGTGGCCTCAATTTTAAATGAAGTTCTAGAGCAATGTCCTTATGCTTAAAGAGCTGTTCTAAAATATATGGAAATGCCAGAGGAAAAAGTAAGACATTATAAATTTGTTTCACCATTTTATGATGTCTATGGTAATGTCCATATATGTCATAAACTAAATTACACTTTTCAAAAATAGAAAAACAAGATGTCAGCTATTCATCATAAATAACCTTATTAATAACAAATCATAAATTGCACTGATTAAGATTAATGCAAAATATTTTGATATGCTTAAATTTTTTAATATATTTATAGTCTTAAAAATAGTTGATCCAATTTTATTAGAAATATTGCTTTTACATCTTTTTGTGCAACTTAAAGATATGTTTCTTTATTAATATATTATAAAAAGATTTATATAATCATTTAATATCACTTTATATTAATTATAATAAATTATATATAAGGTTTTTTTTATTTATTTATAAAACATAAATATTTCATATATATTCTAAAATTTTTTCAGAACTAATTATTAAATATTCGTCCTTGTATGAATTTGTATTCTCATTTTTCATATTGTCAATAAGATTTTCTAAATTAATAGATATAATTACTATTATCTTTATTTTCAGCTACAAAATATGGTTTATCATTTCTAATTATTAATTGTGTCATTAATTTTACTTTTAAATTTTGATTCTTTATGAAAGGTTCCAATACTTTTTCATTTTTCAATTATTCAAATTACTCATTTAATTTTTAGAAACAAACCTTAGTTTTGGCTTTTTCAGATTCAGGTATAGCAATAGATGATTATTACCAAATTAAAGGAAATCGAAAATTTTATTCCTATTTCTAATTTTTTAAATGAGTTTAAGGTAATTTACTTTTGAAAGTCGAATTAGGGGAAGGTTTTGAATGATCATTTTTTTAAAATTTAATTTTAGCTTGATTACGTTATACAATAGAAAGTGTTTTCAATTTATGACTAGTATCGCTTAAAATTGAATCATCATTTTAAGTTAAGTGAATTTTACTAATGCTTGTTTATTTTTAAAGTTGATAATAGTCTTTTTCTTGAATTTATTTTTGTAATTTTTGTTAAGTTTAAACATTTGGTAAAATTTTACTGCTATTTAAAGAAGAATTTAAGTTAAATTGTTTTCTTTTTAATTAATAAGCTTCCTCAATTATTTAATTAATGGTTTTGTTGTCATCATTATTATTTTCTTCTTTGAAAATTGATTCTTAGGATGAAATTGTTTTTGATATTTCAGTTGCATTAAGATATTTTAGGTTAGAATTCTTTCTCTTTCTTGAAATTCTTTTTAAATCTTAATTAACAAATTATTAAACTCTCCTGTTTGTTTGACTAATATTAACTGATACAAGAGTTTTAGAATTATTTTAATTAATCATATTAATCATAATGTTTCGTAATCATCTTCATAATCATCATCATCTATTTCAATTTCTTTATCATAGACATTAATATTGTCTTTTATTGGTTCTACAATATTTAAAGTTTATGGTTCTATGACTTCTTCCTTTTTATCAACTTCTTTTTTGAAAAATCTTTCATCTTGAAATTATATTAATTAATTAATTACTCAATATATCCACTATAGCCCTTTCTGTTTTTTTTTTTAATTTGTCTAATTTAGGTTAGATTGCTCTCTTCAAATCAATGTTTGCTTTTTTAGGTATAATATTTAATGTGCCTTATTCATCTGTTAATATTTATGATACCATTTCTTATACTTTTTACTTTTTATACAAAAATGAATACTTTATAATGCATTTCAATATTTTTAATATTTCTGGTGATTTCTTGTTCTTCTTTTCCAAAACATTTATTTTTAGGGAAATAATGTAAAAACTTCAATTCAGAATGCCAATCTTTTGTTTATTTCTCAGGCATTATTGATTGACTAGAATTTAGATTATCAGGAAAATCTAAAATCATTTTAATATAATTAATGAGTATTATTTTAAAGCATCATCTAATATTACCAAATTTCAACCTTAATGAAACTTTACCTTTCAAAAATTATAAAACTAACTCTATCACAACTATAAGATCATTATAAAAGACTTAAACCACTTAAAAAATGAGTCGTAATAAACCATAATTAACAATAGAAATGTAAGCCAATAAAACAAATATTACTTTTCCTGTTATTAGTAAACCTTCACCAAAAAATAAAACTTATAAATAAAACTTAACAATTAGAACAGAATAGAGTAATGATAAAGCAATCAAAGATTACTTAGATCATTTGAATACATTAAGATCTTAAAAAAATACTTAAAAATAAAATAAATTTAAGAAAGTAAGAACTGAAACTGAAATCATATAATATGGAGATATTAAATTTAAAAAAGTAAAAGAAAACTCTACAAAAAAATCTCTTGCTTTAGCATCAAATGTTAGAAATCCTTAATCTTAATCATATATCAAATTTAGTTAATAGATCTTTGCACTTGTTTATAGTTTAGATAATCTTAAAGTATGATCTAATAATTTTATTTAAGAAATACATTAACAATGAAAGAAAACTGTTTTAAGTTATTAAGTAACTTATTGGATTAAAAAAAAGTCTACGCAAAATTATATTAAAGTAAAATGGGGAAGAATTGGTAGAATTCTCTGAAATTAGTAAATTATGTTGTATTAGAGAGATATAGTATATAAATGGAGAATAAAAAATTGTAGATAAATTTGATTTATCTCTTTATGATGATTTGGTATATTTAACACAAACAATAGATAATCTTTTATTATCAAATGAAATTCATTAAATTAATCGAATTAGTGATAATGTATTAATTCTCATAAAATTCATATAGATTTAAAAGGAAACTGAATAAGTTCTTAAAATCTAGCATTCTATGAACATACCTAATGAAGAATAGAAATTATCTGTAAAAAAAATTTCAATGCAAAGATTTAAAATTCATGATGAAATTGATATTCTAGAGTAAAAATTAGGACCTTTATAATTAATATCAAAATAAGTAAGATAAACATCGATGGTGTTGGGTAGAGTAATAAGCAGTTTAAATGAATGAGTAATAATTTTTCAATTCGCAAATAAATGATCTTTTAAAAACTTTAGAAATCTTTCAGCATAATCTCTTGGAGGTATGGCTGATATTGTTGGACCATAAATGACTCTTTTTGATAAAAATTCTAATTTCTTTTTGGTACTGAAATTTGTTAATATATCAATTATTCCTATATGTAAAGTGTATTGATTATCAATAGTTACCATCTTACTGAAATTATCATATTAAGGATTTTCTGAATATACAGATGATTCATTATCAAGTTATTTATTTCCTTTAACATGCAAACCTAATAAGAGACTATAATCAATTATATCATTCTCTTCAAAAAATTTGCAATCTTTTTCTAATTAATTGAAAAATAACATTGATTTATTCTTATTGATATTCAATTTTATATTCTTTTCTATATCTGCTAAGAAATTCAAATCTTTTCTAGCAACAGTTGGATCACTTAAATAATATAATAAATAATTACTTATCAAAAGTGTATCTTCCATAAGTTGAACCTTTTAAATCATATCTAATATTGATTTCTTGATGAGTTGAAAAAACATTACTCATTATTACAAAATAAATAACTTTCTCTCTTAACATAGTCTAATATTTTATTCCTATCTTATGCATTCCAAATAATCTTAATATTAAATATATTAAATATATTACTTTATAATAAGTGTTTCTGGATAGTTTTTTATATGGTAATAATAATTTCTCATAATTTATTTTAGAAATCTGAATTCCTGATGATGAATTGTTTTTAAAGTAAATTGTCCATCTGCTGTATAATAAAAAAAGCTTCCACTTTTTCCAGTTGATGTTAATTCTTATAAACAAGATAAATCTCCTTTTATTAATGATTATAAAATAGATTCTGGTCCAATACTTTTTAGATATTAATGATTATCTATTCCATATATAGTTCTAATACTATTGAATACTCGTGGAGCATAATCAAAAAATTAACATACTTTAAAAGAACTTTTATCACCTTATGCTCTTCTTGGAAGAAGTTCAAAATAATATTTTAATTTAAAATCTTTTGGACCTACTTCATAATCATCAGCTATATTAATACTACTTACTGCCATTTAAATTCCAATCATCATATTTAAAACTAAATTAAAATTTTCATGACCAAATGAAACACTAATTTTAGGTTTTTTTGTTTATTTTTAATTTTTAATAGATGATTACTTTCTTGGTATATTAATTATTGTATGTATTCTTTATTCATTAATTTAATCTATAATGTCCATTTTTTATTGTTTTACTTGATTTTAATCAATTACTTCTCTTAATCTTTAAACTTCCTTACTAATTTCTTAAACACATGTAATCATTGATTTGTACTTTTCTTTAAGTTAATCAGTACTCATTTAATCTACATATTAATTAAAAAGATTTTTTTAATTATCAATTTCAAAACTTTGGTCTGTCTAATTAAATTAATCTTCTTCTAATGGTTCTGAATTATCTCCTTCAATTTATTTTTATGGAATTTATTGAAATAATGCTTTTTGTTTTGTTTTAGGTTTTTATAATCCATAAAATGAAAAATCCTAGTTTTAATCATTCCTTAAATGTTCTATAGATAATTCATTAGAATGATTGTTATTAAATGATGCAAATTACTCTGAAGTAAAGAATTTATTATTCCCTTAATCATTATAGTTATTATTAATATTATTATTATTATGATTATTTTCCTCACTCTCATATTTAAATAGACTAACAATTGGAGAATGAAGATTTTCAACTTAACTATTTCTTAATTTTTATTCTTATTCAGTAGTTCCTTAAACAAAATGAGGAAGTTCTTTATCTTATTTTTTATTATCCTATTTCATAAATTCTAGTAATTGATCTAGCTTTTTTTCTATGTTTTATACATATCTAGCTTATTGTTAAATACTAAAATCTATAGTTTCAAGTGTAACACCTCTTCTAGCAAAGTCAAATATTTCTAAGAGTGCTGGATCTGCCACTACAGAATCCTGATATTGTTATAATGTAACTTTATCAGCTTTGTCAACATCCATAGTTTAGAAAATTAATTTGATTCTTTTATCAATCTATTTCTTAGTTTCGCTGGTTAAATTTTATCCAGTCATGGCTATCCAACTATTAATCACTCCTTACATTGTATCATTAAATTCAGCAGATGTGAAGCTTCCAACCTTGTTCTTATCAATCAACTTAAAACTTATCTCTGCCTTTTCTCTAGCATCTCCATGACTTACTTTATCAAAATACAAAGCAAAATCTTCAAACCGAATCTAAATAGATTTCATTTAAAAACATACCTTACCATCCTTATCATCATCCATTATATGGAAGATTCTATCTGATAAATGAAGCATTGTACCCATGCCAAGTAAACCCAAATTATCTCGAAATTAAAACTTAGTAACAAAATTAGAACCCTATGACATTCTTGCAAATCTAGTTTTTAATTCTATCAATTCCGTTTCTGTAAGTCTTGTCAATTTTCCTAATTTATTTATTTCTTCTCTTTAAGTGTTAGTTTTTTATTTTCTCGAACAACACATTTAATTAATTTAATTATTATAAATAAAGAAGAGTGTTATAGATAATTTTTTTGTTTACTGTTTAATAATCGAACCTTATATTTACTATGATTATAAATTTAATTTCACTATAATATTAGTATTTAATGAAAAAATTATGTGCAATCATTTACTCTTTGTAATAGCAAATAGTTTGATAAATTCAATTTGAAATTCATGTTGAAGAATTCAAAATATATGAATTAATTTNTTATTAATATTATTATTATTATGATTATTTTCCTCACTCTCATATTTAAATAGACTAACAATTGGAGAATGAAGATTTTCAACTTAACTATTTCTTAATTTTTATTCTTATTCAGTAGTTCCTTAAACAAAATGAGGAAGTTCTTTATCTTATTTTTTATTATCCTATTTCATAAATTCTAGTAATTGATCTAGCTTTTTTTCTATGTTTTATACATATCTAGCTTATTGTTAAATACTAAAATCTATAGTTTCAAGTGTAACACCTCTTCTAGCAAAGTCAAATATTTCTAAGAGTGCTGGATCTGCCACTACAGAATCCTGATATTGTTATAATGTAACTTTATCAGCTTTGTCAACATCCATAGTTTAGAAAATTAATTTGATTCTTTTATCAATCTATTTCTTAGTTTCGCTGGTTAAATTTTATCCAGTCATGGCTATCCAACTATTAATCACTCCTTACATTGTATCATTAAATTCAGCAGATGTGAAGCTTCCAACCTTGTTCTTATCAATCAACTTAAAACTTATCTCTGCCTTTTCTCTAGCATCTCCATGACTTACTTTATCAAAATACAAAGCAAAATCTTCAAACCGAATCTAAATAGATTTCATTTAAAAACATACCTTACCATCCTTATCATCATCCATTATATGGAAGATTCTATCTGATAAATGAAGCATTGTACCCATGCCAAGTAAACCCAAATTATCTCGAAATTAAAACTTAGTAACAAAATTAGAACCCTATGACATTCTTGCAAATCTAGTTTTTAATTCTATCAATTCCGTTTCTGTAAGTCTTGTCAATTTTCCTAATTTATTTATTTCTTCTCTTTAAGTGTTAGTTTTTTATTTTCTCGAACAACACATTTAATTAATTTAATTATTATAAATAAAGAAGAGTGTTATAGATAATTTTTTTGTTTACTGTTTAATAATCGAACCTTATATTTACTATGATTATAAATTTAATTTCACTATAATATTAGTATTTAATGAAAAAATTATGTGCAATCATTTACTCTTTGTAATAGCAAATAGTTTGATAAATTCAATTTGAAATTCATGTTGAAGAATTCAAAATATATGAATTAATTTATAATAAAATAATGATAATTTATTATAATAATTAAAAAAAACAAGTCTTTTAATAATGAAAATTAAACCAGAAATAAAATGAATTGAATTTGAATATTAATTATGTTATATAATTATCACTTGATAAAAAGTTTAAAATCATTTAATTTTCAGTGTTATAATTCTTATAATAAAATATATTGTCAAATTAAATTAAACTTATCTAAACATATATTATGAGAAATCCATAAATTATATTTAGAACTAAAAAAAATGAAGATCATATTTGAATTTATATTATTAATACTTAATAATGCTCATTGTTTTAAGTTGATCAATTCTATGAACATAATTTAATTGATAATATTTGCATTGATAAAGTGTTAATTTATAATTCTTATTTGCTTTTATAAAAATTTAATAAAATTTTATTTAGTCACAAAAAAAATGGAAGAATAATTAAAAAAAATTGACATTCTCATTAAAAAGCAGAACTTTTAGAAAAGTATCAAGAAACTTGAAGAACTCCAAAATCAACTTGACTAGAGGATTATAAATCCAGAGGAAATGATTGAAGATGACTATGTATATCATAATAAAGAATTAGATTATATAAAGTAATATATATGAGAGATTTGCAACAATTTTCATTGATATTAATTAAGTTTATAGAGCAATGTAATACTTGATTAAGATGATAAAAATAGAGAAAGATATTTGTAAAGCATCTAATAATACAGATAGTATTTTGAGACTCTGTAATTCATATGCAAAAATAGGTAATTAAAGTATATAGATTAAATTTAAGGAAGATGTTGTTTCTACTGTTGCTATTATGAATAGACATTCAAATATTTAGATTATGCTTAATAATTACTTATCTAAAATAATCTTACTAATACAGGAGTTTATGCATTAACTTTAACATAGTTAGGGAATTATTATAGATTCATGTTTTAGGATGATTTGGCAGAATAAATGTTATATGAAAGCATCAAAATTAGGGAAGAATTATATTCAAGGGATTCTATAGTAAAATTTATAAATATGTTAAGGAAGTTGCTGACTCATTACATGGACTGGCTTAATTATTTTCAGATGAGGGAAAAATTTAAGATGCAATGTTCTCAATCAATTAAGCCATATCTATTTGGACAAATGTATTAGGTTATGAGCATATCAAAACAGCTAAATCAATTTATCTTAAAGGAAATTTATATCTTAGAATGAAAAACACTCAAGAAAGTAAATAAATAATTATTATTTTGTAGATTTAGAAAAAGCAGAATAATTAATAATTCAAAGTCTACAAATTAATATTAAAATTATGGGAAATTCCTCATAAGATATTGCTGATTGTTATCATTCTTTAGGTAAAATTAAGGCTTATAATAAATGTTCAAATGAATTTGAAGAGTATTTCTAAAAATCATAAGAAATTTTGCAAGAATTATATGGCTAAAGTCATGCAAGCATAGCAATAATATTAAACAATTTTGGAAGATCATATTATGAGAGAAAATAATATGAAGAAGCTGTAAATTGTTTCTAAGAATCTATAAAAATTTATACTTAATTATGTGGAGATATGCATGGCAATTTAGCTATTACTTTAAAAAACTGTGCAGATTGTCACAAGGAATTAGGTAGATTTAAATAAGCATATAATGATTATTCAAAGTCATTAGAAATTTACAAAGTATATATATATAATATTGAATTTAGAAAATGTAAATAAATTAACAATAAGTTAATACGATTCAAAATTAAATGATCTAAATCTCTGAAAATTTTTTAGAAGATTGATATCATACTCTTTTGTATAAAAGACAACTAAACAATTTAGTCATAAAAATATTAACTAAAATTATATATAATTATATCTATACCCCCTTATTTTATATTCATTATTTTGGATATTAAAATTATAGCCTTTATATTATAAGTAATATTAAATTATGAAGATATATAATAAATTCATTCTTGATGAAAGCTTCTTTATTATTATACAAGTGACTTTCTCTTTGAATTCTATTTTACTATTTATTAAACTTAACTGTTCTTTCTTAATTGATCTCGTTTCACAAATTCATCAACTTTTCTAAATTATACCCATGCCTTTCCTTCCATTAAATTATCTAGCTATTCTTATTGATACACAAAATACTTCTTCAGAGATTTCTTTGTCAGTATAACCACTTTTTTTAACTATCTCCCAAAAAGCCATCCATTCATCCTCTGATATTTGTCCACTCTTATCGAAATCAACTGCATTGAATAAAGCTTAAGTATTAACTTTAGCAAAATTTGTTTTCCAAAATTTTTAAGTTTCATCTTTATCTATTGAACCTGAATTATTTATGTCTATTCTTCGAAATATTTCTAAAGCTTTTGCTCTAAGTTTTTCATTAAGACATGCTGAATTTTTTTATGCTCCACACCCCATTTATGATATAATTAAATAAATAAAACCAATTTTAGAATGAAATTTATTTGCAGTAGTAATATTAGATAATAAATCATAATATTGAATATCTAAATTATAATTGCCCAAGTGATTTACAAATATATATTAATTAAAATAATAGAATATAACTATTTATAAAGAAATAAATCAAATTATGGTTTGACTTCTTCTAGTTGTTCAGCTTAAACTTCTTTATCTAACTTTATTAATTTAAAAACAAGTGATTTATTTTTTATTAATTAGAAATAAATTTTATAATTAAGATAATAATTTAAAAAATTATCAATCTTATCAATTGTAAAGCCTAAAACATTTCTTAAGTGAAATAACATTCAATAATGACCTAATTTTTGCTATAATAAACACTCCATTTTAATACTATTATAAATTATTTAGTTTTATTTAGAATCAAAATACAATAATAATTCTCCATTATTCTGCTTTACTGGATAGATAGTTTTTATAATTCTCATCAATTATTTTCTATTCCATTTAAAATTAGTTTAACCCTTTTTTTAATATATTCTTAGAATTTTAAATTAAAATACACTAAAAATTTAAGGGTGTTTTTTGGTGAAAGCTATACTTAATGTTATTTAACTAAGCTTTTATTAAAGAATGCCCTTTAAATGCTATCAATAATTAACATACCATTACTCAATTGACTTTATGATCCACTAATACTCATAGGATTAGTAAATCTATAAGTAAAGCATTCTATAGCAAATTTATATTTGTATTATTGAATATGAATTTTAACTTTAAAAACAGTAACTCTAATGATAAATTCAGTTGTTGTTATTGATATTTTTTAGATGTGGTTGATGCTTTTTGATCCTTTTAAAAAGGCATAATTATTATATCATGCTTTTTAAATTAGAAGCCTATAAAAACTTCTTATATGATTTCTATTTATCTAAATTGTAAAAAATATTTATATTATCTTTATTTGAATCTTCATTTACAAATATATTTTATTTTATAGAATAATTAATCTCTTCCATAATATAGCTAAAATCTAGAATTTATATTTTCTCAATGTTGTTAAACAGATTCTCTTTTCTTAGAAATAATATTCTAAGATAAATCTGATTCTTTTTTTAATATTTCATGAATTTAGGATTGTAAATACCACTATATTGTATTCTCATTTACAGCTAAAGTAGTCAATAAAGTTAGTTGATTATTGTTGTCATTAAGACATGTATAAAGATAATAGTAACTTCCAAATATTTATTTTATTCAAAGTCGTTAATTAAATAACAATTATAAAGTTGCAAATCTTCAATATGTTGATAATATGTATTTTTTATCCCTATCCTGAGATAAAATAGTTTTAAAATTACTCCTTGAAAAAATTAATCAAGAAATTAGAATGCTTATCATCATCTGGGTTATCATTATGAATCAACATATAAATAATAGATTCTAAAATAGGAAATCAAAGAAATTCTCACTATCATATTCTTTTAGATTTTGGATACAAAAAAAAATTTACTTTTATATAGAAATCGATATAAATCTAATATATTTCCAATAAAAATAGTAAATGAAAAATATCGACATTCACTTTTGTCTAAGAAATTTATATCTTATCATATTAACAATGCAATATCAAATTAAAAGAACCTAGTAAATAATGCAAATTTACTTTGCTTCTATTATTTTAAGATACTTATCAAAAGTAAAATTCTATCAATATACCCATCTTAATAATCAATTAGATGGTATGCAGGTTACTATTAGTACTATCAAAACTTCAAATGACTATACTTGTATGATCATGGAGAATATAAGAGAGCTTTTGCTATTGACAACTTTGATGAAGAAAATTTAAGAAAAACTTTCTATACCATAGCAGATATCATGTATTTATAAAGGACTTGAATTTAATTAGAAGTAATTCTATAATCGGTAACGCTGATACATAGTAACAGAAAAAATTAAAAAATAAATACTTTATTAAATAATAAAAACATACTAAAAAAGGGGGTTGCTATAGAAATTATTGGTGATGATAAATATTTTCGAAACAAATTTTATAATATATGATAATAGACGTTAAAGTTTAGCATTTTTTCAAATAAAGTTGCATATTGCAAATGTAAAATATACAATACGTGGGATAATATAATAAAATGATTAGTAAAGATTTTATGATTAATAATTCGTCACATTATGTATATAAAAGGAATCGAGAATGTATGATTTTTTTCATTATATTTAAAAATAATTTTCTGTCAAAAGAATGAGTGTTGCATCTAATTCTAAGCATGAATATGAATTCAAAGAGACTCCTATTGAAGTATTATTTAACATATAATTAAAAATAGTCAAAGTTCACATGGACAACAAAGAGTATTGAAAAACTTAAAGAGCTTCATGTGTTTTAACAAGGGAACTGGAAATCAATCAGTTCGTTACTAAATGGACCAACACCTTTAGAGTGTATGTTTAAATGGCAACAACTCCATCCAGATTAAGTAATCAAATTCTAATTATTTAGACACCTTCTAGATAGTTATGGTCACCAGAAGAAGATGAATAATTGAAAGAATTAGTCTAAAAATTTGGTAAAAAATGGAGCAAGATATGTACAGTGATGAATTGGAGAACAGGAAAATAAGTTAGAGAGCGTTATTTGAACTAACTTTAAGGAACAATTAACTAAGAAAAGTGGACTGAAGAGGAAGATAAATTGATATTAAAATTATATAAGAAGTTTGGAACTAAATGGAGCTATATTTCAAGTTTTTTGAATGGAAGACCTGTATATTTCTATTTCTAAATACTTAGGAAAACATGGTAAAAAATCGATTCTATGCAAACTTAAAAAGAAGATACTAATGTGATTTAGGTGATTCTGATGATGAAGATTTCTAAGAAGAATCCATAAATTCTTCAGATGAAGATAAAAGCAAGTATTAGAGAAGGAGAAGATCTTAGAAAAGTATGAAAGAGCCTGAAAAAATTAAAAAGGTTTAGGTGTCAGATGAAAATATAGAAAATTTCCAAAGAATGACAAGATCAAAAAATCAAAAATAAAATGATGATAGTTTTAAGTAATATGGTCCTAATGAAGACTAAAACAATGAAAATAATTCAGGTATTCATTATGTTTATTTTTAGGATTATAAAATATTGCAAGTTCTCCAAGTTATTGTACTCCTTAAGCAAATTAAATTAATATAAAGGAAGAAAATTAATTAAAATGTGATCATTTTAATTATAATTCTTCCAATATTTAATAATCAATTCCATAAATTAACATGCTCCCATCACCAGTTTCCCCATTCATTTTTAATAATTAATTACTTCCATCATAATAAACTGCTCTTATTTATTCATAAAATAATTTGCCAATCATATCAGATAAATTGGCAATATAATAATTCAAATAACCATAGTTTGATAGATTGCAAATGTAAAATCAACTAAATTAATAACCAAGAATAAACTTTGTTAATCCTTTTCTAGATATTATGTAATAACAGTAAATGCTGAATTTTCAAATTCCAATCTAGTCTTAATTAATAGGTCAGATTGATCCAATTACATAATGGGCAGAACTATATAAAATTTACAATAACGTAATATTGTAGAAACATTTGTAACCATGAGGTTAAATTAGAGAATGTAAACAATATATATGTAATCAAATAAACATATTATACATTCATTATTTTCAATAATTTCAACTTTTATTAATAGATAAATTAATGTTACTATTTTTTAAATTCAACTTTAATTTCTGTTCAAAAAGTATTTAAGATTTTTATTTATTGAAATAACATCCTCCTATTCAAATTCTAATTATTTTTTTAGATATTCTTTATAATATAAATTATATTTTTAGCATAAACTAACTCATTCTTTTGGAATAATAATTTAATTTGTGATTTTTTTAAATGAAGTAATAAATCTATATATTTGTATTCGGATTAAAATGATTTTAGAAAAGGAAATTAGATAATATCGTAAATCAATGATAATAATCAATAATTCTTTTTTATTATCTGTTTCATTCAATTTAATATCTTCATTAAGTATTATGTAATAAGAATGATAGAATAATGTATTTAATAAGGATATAAATAAATGTATTGTTTAATATAAGGGTATTGATGTTAAATTTTAATTATGAATAATGTTTTAAATATAAATTATAAAATTAATATATGGGGAAAAAGAGAATTGTAGAAGAAAATTAAAATGAAGAGCCAGAAGAAGTCTAAGAGGTGATTGCAAAAGCAGACAATAAAAAATAAAAAAAAATTGCTAAAAATTAGAATAAAATAAGCAAAGATGTTGATTTCATTTCATTTTTAAAAGAGGATATTCGATTTTTAATTTAACATAGAAATAAAGAGAATGAAGAAAAGTAATAAAAGGCTGAAGAAGTATATAATAAAATAGAAGGTATTTTATATTAAATTGCCTAAACTAAAATTGGAGGTAGAACAATTTAATTAGTAATTAAATGTGCAGATCAAAATATAAGATAATAAATATTTTCAAAATTATTAAATGATAAACAATTTGGAGAATTATTATAATCAAAATATGGTCACTATATTGGAATTACTATGGTTAGAAATATGGTTCCTGAATTTAGAAATTAATTTTTTGAGATTTTATTAAAAAATGCTAATCATTATGTAGCTTAAGGGGATGCAAGTATTGTTTTAGATAGATTCTTAACAAGAGAAGCAACTACTTAATAAATCAATAAAGTAAAATAATTGTTTTTAAATCACAGTGAAAAAATTGATAATTTAGCAATGAAAATAATAGAAAAAGGAATTCATAATCATTTACTTAGTTTATAAATTTTAAAAGTGGCATTACCAAATTTAGTTCCAGAAGAGAGATAAAAAGTTATTGAATACTTTTAATAATTAGAAAATCTAGATTATCTTAGACATAAAGATGGCATTTCAGTATTAATTAATTAAATATTTAGATATTTTGTGCAATATTAAATGTTACAGATAAGAAAGAAAGGAAGAACTTTTTAAAAAATATATAAACATACATGTAATAATCTTAAGAACATTTACACAGAAATTCTTAATTTTATTTAGCATTATAAAAGGTTATATTTACATATGATGACACTAAATAAGTTAATAAATCTATTTTACAAGATATCTTACCTGAATGGTTAAATTCTATTCATGTGTTTAAAATAATTTAATCTATTTATTAACCTAAACTTAGAGATGACATAAAATTTGATTCAATTGGTTTATAAAACACAGTGAGTTTAAAAGATGATGAAATTAGAGTAAAAGAACTTTAGGATTATTGTTTTGAATCAATTTTGAATTCATTGTAATAAAGTGAAACCAATATCTTATTGGAAAGCAATATAAATTAATTTATTTGCTACTTTATTTAATATATCATTAAGTATTCATAAATTTAAGCATTGGACTTCATTAAAAATTAGATTAAATAATTACTTTATTTTAAAGTTGACACTATTTTCAGCAGAGAAGTAGAATAAAATGGAAATTATTGGATATTAACTTAACCAGAAGCTTAGAGAATTGCTAAATGTCTTATACAATAATAAGAAATTGCTGTATTAATAATATATATATATTAAATTAGTAAAGTGAATTCAAAGAGATTATTGATAATTACTGTTAAAAAATAAAGAGCCTTTTGATATAGAATTTGAAAATAACACTTATAAGTAAAGCAATATACTTATTATTGGCATTAATAGAGAATACAAATTTAAAAGAATAAGTTCTCTAAGATGTTAAGAAAAATAAAAAATGGATAGATAAGTTGGAGAAAACATAATCTCTCCAAATATTGTATAAATATATATGATTTTGTATATTATTAAATATCATTACAATTATTTTGATACTGATTTTGATATTGAATTTAAGAAGTTAATTAAGTTTAAAAAAATAAATGTTTTAATATAAGGTAATTGCATTTTTTTCACATATAAAATAAGCAGTCAAATCATTTGAATCTGAAGTGATCTCTACAGCTTATTTAAGAAAAAAGGAATTAGCAACTTTAAATACAATGCTCTTTACATTAAAGGATTAAGATAATTATTAAGAGATACGCAAAATGATAAAAGATGTTTTACCTCCTGTATAAAGCATCACAAAAATCACAGATTTGAAAGATTATTCAAGAATAGCTTATAAATTAGATATGAAGAAAGATTCTTTGATTTTGGAATAACTTTTAACTTTGATATTGCAAGATTAATTTGGTAATTTTGTATTGAAAGACAAATTAATTTAACATATAATTCAAAGTATTAAAATAAGTATATTGGATCCAAAAGTCTAATAATTAATGCAATAACTTTAATTAAAGGAATCTGAAGTTTAAAAGAAATATATAAAAATATATTTAGATCTTATTTAATAGAAAGTAAATTAAAAATAAGATAGTTCTGAATCATAAATGAATATATAAAATGTTGCAGAATTAGGTTAATAAGTATTGAAATCAGAAAAAAGATAATAAACTCTAGATTAAATAATAGTTTCAAAATAAGTAAGACAGAATCAATAAATTCTATTTGAACATTTTTCTTAACCAAGTATTGAAGAGATTATGATCATCTTACCATAAATACATTTGTTTCCAGGAAGATTAAAATCAAATTATATTGAAATTTTGAATAAGTACCTAAATTAATTAAAAGTCTCTCCAAAAGAGGAGGGTAAAGTTTTAACTTAGCTTAATTAAAGTAATTAGATCTGTTAACTTAGTGATTTTAAAGAATTCTGAATTTTTTAAAAAAAGCAATATTTCTTTTATTAACATATTGAATTAGATCTAAATATAGGGATTGTTGGAATCATAAATAAATTAATTATTATACTTAATTACATATTCAAATAGTTTAGAGTATTTTAAATAAAATGAACAATAGTTTATTGATTACATTATTAAGAATTAAGCAATAAATATGAGTTAAATGGTTGCTTATTTCTTTCATTTATCATAAATTTATAGATAGATAGGTGATTTTAAAGTAGAATTATTAAAATATTAATGTACTTATTTTATGAATAATCTATCTAAATGTGATTCAAATTAATTATTTTTGATAATAAAATCATTAAGAATATGTTAGAATATAGAAGAAGTGGTTATATTGAATAAATAAATAGAATAGAAAATTTAGGAAGGGGCATTAAATTAAAATCATGATGCATTAATAAATTTTGTAGCAAATAAAATCAAGTAAACCTAAGTATTATTTATGCCTGAAACTGCTAAAATAGTAAATGTTACATAGAGAAATTTTGGAGAATGGTGTCACTTAATTTAATAAATAGGATCACTAAAAACTTTAGAATAGGATTTAATAGATAAATTTAATAAAATACATATTAGTTTAAGAGAAAAATTAGGATAGAGTTAATTATACTATTATTTTGCAGCATAATTTATTTGTGGAGTTAATGATGAATAATATTTTATAGAAAGAATAAATTAGACAAGACCATTTCTATTAATTAGAATTTTATATGATATTGCTTAATTTCCTACGATTCATTATGAAAAATTAAAATAGAGAATTATTGAGAAGATAAAAGATACACCAGATTATTTGACATAAGAATTTAATAAATTAGACAAAGGATTATTAAGTTTTAGTATTTTGACAGCATCATTATTGGAAGATCAATCATTTTATAATTATCTATTTGATAAATACAAAAGAGAAATAGAATAATTTAGTGAGGAATTGATAATAAATAATAAGAAATTTTAAAGAAATAAAATAATAGGTAAATCATCTGTAAATTTTGTAACTAATTAAACATTAATACAATTTTATTAAGCTTTAAGATATCATTAATGTTTAACAAATGAAGAATCAAGTTATTTAGTAAAATTAGAGACTTTAATTAAGGAATATAGTTTAACTTAATAAGTGATGCCTTCATATATAGAGAGTGTTGTTGAGTCATGTTTAAAAGAAGAGAAAGTGGAATATATTAGAGATTATTGTGAAGTTTTACCTTTTAGGATAGATTTTTATATTCCAAGTAAGTAGATTGGGATTGAATGTAATGGAGTGTCTCATTATTATTTGGATTAATTAAGAAGAGGGGATGTTTTAAAAATGAAGGTAATAATTTGTTTGGATTGATTTAGTTTTTTGAAGAGAAAATGAATATAAAAATTAGTGTGATACGTTCTGGTTGTGATAATATTTAGGAAGTTGTATAAAGTATAATAAAATGATTGATATTTTCATATATATGTGAGAGGGTTGATTGATGGCAGAAATATATTATAAAATATATAAAGTGTATTAAGTTCATTAATTAGTCTTATTGAGTGGGGTTTCAAAAGGCATCGTGTTCTTGAGCAATTTAATAGCCTCTATCAATAGAACGATAAAAGGATGCTTAAGATATTTACCTGTCTGCTTAAGTGTTTGTGATGGTTTGGATTCGAACTTCGAGTTTCTATTATTATCTTGGTTATGGTTTGCTAGTACAAATGCCCATGTTTTTAATCGTTAGTAATATTAATAATAAATGAATTGCGCTGTTTGTGGATTAAATTTTGAAAGGAAAGATAAAGGATGTTAGTAAATGGAATGTTAACAATGTAAATTGAAATATCATCGTTTCTGTTATGGATACAATAATTTGGATGGAGTATGTGATCCATGCTAAGATATAGCAAAGAAACCATTATGTTGTATTTGTGGATAGAAAGGTTTATTAAAACGACTGTCAGATTAGAGTGGAGTATATGTGCATGTGTCATGTGCTATATTTGCATCACATATCTAGGTGATCAATTATCACACAATGACATTTGCTACTAAAAGTTAAATAGACAAAAAAACTAAGGAGAAATGCTCAAATTGTGGAAAAAGTGGTGCAAATATCTAATGTTTGGATTGTTAAGCTTATGCTCATCCTCATTGTATTTTTGTAGAATAAGTGGAGAAAGCATAAGAAGACATAGAAACAGAATAGTGGATTTTCCATTTAAAGTTTTAAGCAAATAATTAAGATCCAAATTAATTAGATGTAGAAGCAGGTGAGATTAAATGTGAATTAAAAGAGATTTAAGATGCTTTTTATAATGCATTTGATAAATTTTAAGATAAATCAAAGAAAAGAGGAAATTAGACACAATAATATAAGGAACATGTAAAAAATACTTTAGAATCTATTTTTGATAATTATACACTATAATAATGCAATCAACAATGGTCATCATAAAATAAGATAGAGAGTTATTGTTAAGTTCATATGGAAAGTCATCGTTTATTTTGTATATGTCGTAAATCTTTGAATAATAAATAAATGGTATAATGTGATCATTGTTATGAATGGTATCATTTTGGATGTATTAAACGTAAGAATGTAAAAGATGATAGTTATATCTGTGAAGCATGTAAAGGATGGAGTGCAAAGAGAACAAAAATAGATTTAGAAGATCCAAAATTACTGAACTTTGAAGATTTAGTTGTACCTAAAAGTGTTTACATTTTACATTTGATAGATTTACTTCCATTATTATTATACATTGAAGCTATTATGAAGAGATTACCATCTATTCCATTAGATGAAAATGATTATAGAAATATCAAATTTTACAAACTTTTCTTAGCATCATTACCTATCAAACCTTCTACTGTTATACAATTAGATAAGATTTTACTAAAAGAAAAACTATAGGAAGAATTAAAATAGAAAATGTAATCTCTAATACCTACTTAATTAGAATAAAGTGAATTATTTGCAGAAGAATTAGTTAAATCATTTAAATTTAAAGGTTATTATTTTGAATTGGGTGATAATAAACTTATTAAATCATTTGTATTATCTAGAAAAGATATTAAAGTATAGATTTAAAAAGGAATTTCTGAAGGTTATTTGATGGAAGATACTTTTAAGATTCTTAATGAAAATATTACAGATAATTAAAAAATATTTAAATCTCCTAATGATAATTTAGGTTAACTTATTAATAGATACAAAATTGCATAATAAATAAAAACTACTTTAAGATCTTTATTTGAAGCAGAAACAATGTAAATTGAATATCCTGTTATTGATAATCAACTTGATTTAACTGTTTATAAATAATTAATTTTGATTAAAAATTAAAAAAATAAACCTAATAAATTGAAATTAATAGATTTAAAAAAAATGGCTAATCATAATAATGTGACTTTGGGATGTCTAAAAATTATTGATAAATTATTAGAAGAACTTAATTTATTGGAATAAGATAATGTTTAGAATTCTTATAAAAAAATTATAGAATTCCCAGTTAATAGTGATACTCTTACTAATTAGTTATAATCTTATTTTGAATAAGAATTTATTGATGAATTCAAAGTAGAATTGGAATTGAAAATTGAGAGTTTCTGTAGATTAACTGAAAAAGAATATACAGGAGTATATATATATGAAAACATTTAAAAGGCTGCTAAAGATTCGATTGTAATAAGGAGTGTATATAATCAATTATAAGAAATTCATTAGAAATGTTAAAATTAAAAAAAAGTAACAATTTAATTTTGTCATGAAATATTAGATTTGATGTCAAAGTGTTTATTAACATCAATGTATATTGAAAATCAAAAGACAAAATTCCTGAAATTCAGAGAACTCTACAAAAAGTTGAATGAATCAATAACATTAGAATAATTAGATGAAATTGAACATGAATGTTTTTAACTTGGATTTGATATGGATGTAGAACAAAGAAGATAGTAATTGCTTTAAGCATAAGAGATTATTCAAAATATATAACCTAGTTTATGTGATTCATTGGAGGAATTCAAAAAACTTAAATCTCTTGAATTGGATACATATATAAGATAAACTGAATAACAAATTGATTTTGTGAAGTAATTATATTATTTGGTATATAATTCATATGATACATTGCCTAAGATGATTTAGAAAGTAAAAGATATCTCAGATTTAGATTTTAATAATGAATTACTATATAAAGTTATTATACCAGAAGTAGTTTATGATGAAATGAAATCAGTTGTAATGAATTTTAGATAAATTAAATGGAGATGTGAATGTTAATAAATCCTAGATCAATCAAATTAAATGATGATTTAAGGGGGTAATAAAAAATATAATATCAGTCAAATTATTCATTTGTTAAATGCAGATCCTTAAATCTAAGATCCATTTTACACTTAACAACTTTAGAAGATCAAAAAAGAATATGAGAGTTGGATTATCAATTTGTAAGAGTTTGAGAATCAATTGACTGGTCAAGTGGCTCCTCATTTTAATTAATTAATTAAATTAATTAATAAGAATTAATATTAAGATAATAATTTGTAAACTAAATTGTGGTAATATTACATTTAGATGCTTTGGATGTAAAAGACAGAAGAATTTCTTGAAGCCAAAGCTAATCCATAAGCTTACAAAACATTGATATCTTGTGCTACATTTGCAAATATAGATTAAAATAATGTTTTATTGTTGAAAATTAAAGATCATTTATTCATAATGGATGACTTAGGTAGAAAACTTAAAGAATATTAAGAATAAAGATTTCTTTGGGTTAAGAGTAGAGAATAAATTAATAATTTATAATCATATAAATCTTACTATAAGTATTTGGAAAATAAACCAGATGCAGAGTAGATTAATTAAATTTATAATCAAGCTAAAGAGTATCCAATATTTAAAGTAAAAGATTTAGCTGAAGATTTATAAGAAGTACGTTAAGTGTTATAATAATATAATGATTTAGTGTAAAAACAACCAGATAATAGTTTATACATTTAACAATTATAAAAGATAAGAACATATTATTGTTGTTGTTTTTTGAAAGTAAAGAATTTCTGTGTTTAATTGATGTACAATATGATAAAGTAATAATCTTTAAAATGTTTGAAATAATTGAATCCTACAGAGTAAATCTTATAAAGATTGGAAGAAATAAATCTCTTGGTTGCTTTAGGAGGTGAAGAGTGGTTTTAAAAGTTAAGTCTCACTTATAAAGTGAAATAAGAGAATACAAACAATTCGGATTTTAAATTTATTGATTGTGTAAGAATTTATTATTATATATTTATAGAGTTTATCAGATGATTTTGAATGGATTAGATGGATGGAAGAGAGTAGTTAAAATATAAGTGAGAGTTTTGGTATAGAGACAAAAAAACAATAGAAGGAATAAAAGATAAAGAAGAAAAAGTAATAGAACTCTAAAGTTATGGAAGGTATTACTGAAGATATGAGATAAACTCAAAGACTTGATTTATAAGTTTGTTTTAAAAAGTTCTCTAATTGGAAATAAGTAAATGAATAATAGATACGTAATTTGGAAGCATCAGTTTTTATGGAATAAAGTTTCGATAAAGAGAAGTATCTAAAAGAAATTGAAAAGATTAAAACAGTTATCAAATAAAATAAATAATTAGAGTATATATTTAATTTATCTTAAATAGATTAAATTATGAAGAAATGAAGAAAGCCTATAAACAATATCTCCATAAAAAGAAATCAAATGGTTAATAATCTAATAGTAAATAAACCTTGTGTTTGGAGATTGTTAAAGTCATTAAGAAATAATAATAACCATAAGTTCCTTAAATTACAAGTGCTTAAAAATTAATATCTCAACATTCAGTCAAAAGTGAACCTGAGTTAGAAAAGAAAGTGAAACCTGAAACTCCTAAATAACCTACTATTATTGCTCAACCAATTCCAATTACAAATGATGTTCTCTTATATAATCCAGATGGATAGATTGATACACCATGTAAAAAGTTAAAAAAATAATTAATGAATTTAGGAGAAATCAATTTATAAATTAAGAAAAAAGTAAATGATACAAGAGAGTCATTTCTCATTAAACCATAATTATTAACTTATGAACATCATATGGCTTAACATTTTCCAAAAACTGAAAATATTACAATTACTTGTGATACATTTTCCCCTGTTAAAGAAGTTATGGAATATTTTACATAGAGAAAATCAGGTCAATTTAGAATGATGATTGGATGGTTATATTCAAAAGATTTAAATGTAGCTGGAGATTTATTTAAATTAGCAGATAAATTAAAACATTCTAAATAATGTGTTGGAACTAAATAAGGTGATGTTGGATTAACCTTGATATACTATGATTATTTGAATAAACTTAAACCTACTACTAAATGGATTATAATGAAAGAAGAATTAGAGTAAACAATTTTTATATATTTTTTAGGAATTAATTAGTAATGGATAACTTACTTAAATATCATAATATAGAGAAATTTAAACCACATTTATGTTTTGTATATTATGTAAAAGACTTTAAAGAATGTACAAATACAATATTGCCTCAACCTGTTCAATATATTAATGTATTGAAACACAATCAATTCAAAAGAATAGTTGAAAACCATAAACAATAATAGAAAAAATAATCAGGATAATCAATTCCATCAAAGAAAAAAGAATTAGAACCTATTTCTGATGAGGAAAACAATAATGGATTTTAGTAGAAATAAGAT